CATCGGCCTGCGGTCCATAGAGACCCGGGTTTGGTTTCCACTAAGGGCACGTACCTCAGTTGCAGTTTGTCCCCAGCCCTGACTGGGTCGTGCGGGTGGCAACCACTCGATGTGTCCCTTTCACGTCGATGTTTCTCTCTCTCTCTCCCACTCCCACTCTATCTGAACAAAATATGGAAAAATGTCCTTGGGTGAGGATAAAAAAAAAGATAAACAAGATTGATGGACCCTTAGCTAGACTTACCAAGAAACAAAGAGAGAGAACCCAAATACACAAAATCAGAAATGAAAGAGAAGTAACAACTGACACCACAAAAATACAAATGATTGTTAATAAGTACTATGAACAATTATATGGCAACAAATTCGACAATCTAAGCCAAATGGACAAATTTCTAGAAACACACAGTCTCCCAAAACTGGACCGGGAAGAGATAGAAAATTTGAACAGACCAATAACTACTAAGGAAATTGAAGAGGTAATCAAGAATCTCCCAGCAAACAAAAGCCCATAGGGGAGTTTTACCGAACATTCAAAAAAGAATTAACACCCATTCTCCTCAAACTACAGTGATACCCCGGTTCTCGAACGCCTTGACTTTCAACCAAATCGGTATTCGACCAGGAGATTCGAGAAACTTTTGTCTTGGAATCCGAACAAATATTTGGAACTCGAACTTCCGAGATGAGCCGAGTTGAGCCGAATGGCGTTCATTCGGCCCAGCGCGCCTTGCTTGCGCCATCAGTGTGAGTGCAGAGAGAGTCACGCTTTGTGGAGAGAGTCACGCTTTACACTGAATTTAACCCTTAGACATACTGTACACTTTTATTTCTTGTTGAGACTTATGTTTTTCTACATATTATATACAAATTAGGCCAGTAAATAGGCATTTTCTGGGGCTTGGAACGAATTAATCCAGTTTCCATTATTTCCTATTGGGTTTCATTGCTTCGGTTCTCGAACAATTTGGTTCTCGACCGTCCTCCTGGAACGAATTATGTTCGAGAACCGAGGTATCACTGTATTTCAAAAAATTCAAGAAGAAGCAAGACTTCCAAAATCGTTTTATGAGGCCAGCATAATTCCAATTCCAAAAATAGAAAAAGTCACCACAAAGAAAGAAAACTACAGGCCAATATCCCTGATGAACATAGATGCCAAAATCCTGAACAAAATACTAGCAAATTGGATCCAGCAATACATCAAAAAAATTATTCACCATGACCAAGTGGGATTCATCCCAGGGATGCAAGGCTGGTACAATATTAAAAAATCAATAAATGTGATATACCACAAAAATAAAGTGAATAAAAACCACATGATCATATCAATAGATGCTGAAAAAGTATTTGACAAAATCAAGCATCCATTTCTGATAAAAAAGCTCAGCAATGTGGGAGTAGACGGATCATATCTCGACATAATAAAGACCATATATGAAAGACCTATAGCCAACATCATACACAATGGGCAGAAACTAAAAGCATTTCCCTTAAGAACAGAAACAAGACAGGGATGCTCACTTTTGCCACTCTTTAACATAGTAGTGGAATTCTTAGCCACAGGAATCAGACATGAAGTAAAAATGAAAGGGATCCAAATCGGAAAGGAGGAAGTGAAACTGTCATTATTTGCAGATGACATATTATACATAAAAAACCCTAAAGACTCCATCAAAAATCGACTAGACTTAATAAATGAATTTGGCAAAGTAGCAGGATACAAAATTAACATCAAGAAATCGATGGCATTCTTATACACCAATGATAAACTCACAGAAAGAGACACTGAAAAAACAATCCCATTTACCTTAACGGCAAAAAAATTAAGATACCTAGGAATAAACTTAACCAAAGAAGTAAAGGACCTCTTTGTAGAAAACTACAGGACATTGAAAAAAGAAATAGAGGAAGATATAAAAAAGTGGAGCCCTGGCCGGTTTTGCTCAGTGGTTAGAGCATCAGCCTGCGGTCCAGAGAGACCCAGGTTTAGTTCCCACTAAGGGCGCGTACCTCGGTTGCAATCTGTCCCCGGCCTTCGTTGATCATGCATGTTGCAGCCACTCGATGTGTCCCTTTCATGTCAATGTTTTTTTCTCTCTCTCTTCCTCTGTCTTCCCTCCCACTCTATCTGAACAAAATATGGAAAACGTCCTTGGGTGAGGATTAAAAAAAAAAAAAAAGTGGAAGCACATAACTTGTTCATGAATTGGAATAATTAACATCATGAAAATGTCCATATTACCCAAAGCAATCTATAGGTTCAACGCAATCCCCATCAAAATACCAATGCCATATTTCACAGAACTAGAACAAATACTTCAAAAGTTCATATGGAAACAAAAAAAGACCCCAAATGGCCACAGCCATCTTGAAAAAGAAGGATAAAGTAGGTGGGATCACAATACCAGATATCAGGTTATATTACAAAGCGACTGTAATCAAAACAGCCTGGTATAGGCACAAGAACAGGCATATAGACCAGTGGAACACAACAGAGAACCCAGAAATGGACCCAAGACATTATGCTCAATTAATATTTGACAAAGAAGGCAAGAGCATACAATGAATAAAGACAGCCTCTTTAATAAATGTTGTTGGGAAAATTGGACAGCTACATGAAAAAAAAATGAAACTAGACCATCAACTTACACCATACACAAAAATAAACTCAAAATGGATGAAAGACTTAAATGTAACCCGTGAATCCATAAAAATCCTAGAAGAAAATGTAGGCTGCAAAATTTCGGACATCACACACAGCAGAATTTTCACTGATACATCACATAAGGCAACAGAAACAAAGGGAAGAAGGAACACATAGGACTACATCAAACTAAAAACCTTCTGCACAGCAAAAGAAACAACCATCAAAATGGAAAGGCAACCCACTGTATGGGAGAGCATCACTGGCAATGATACATCAGATAAGGGGTTAATTTCCAAAATATATAGAGTACTCATACAACTCAACAAAAGGAAGACAAAGAACCCAATTAAAAAATGAGCAGAGGGCCCTGGCTGGTTTGGCTCCGCGGTTAGAGCGTCGGCCTGCGGTCTTGAGAGACCCGGGTTCGGTTCCCACTAGGGGCATGTACCTCGGTTGCAGTTTGTCCCCGGCCCTGGTTGGGTCTTGTGGGTGGCAGCCATTCGACGTGTCCCTTTCACGTCGATGTTTCTCTCTCTCTCTCTCCCTCCCACACTCTTTCTGAACAAAGAATGGAAAAAATGTCCTCGGGTGAGGATAAAAAAAAATGAGCAGGGGAACTAAATAGACAACTCTCCAAACAGGACATACAAATGGCCAAGAGACATATGAAGAAATGCTCAACATCACTAATCATCAGAGAGATGCAAATTAAAACAACAATGAGGTATCACCTCACACCTGTCAGAATGGCGGCCCACCAACCATCATCAAACAACAAGTGTTGGCAAGGGTGTGGAGGAAAGGGGACTCTAGTACACTGCTGGTGGGAATGCAGACTGGTAAAGCCACTATGGCAAACAATATGGTGTTACCTCAAAAAAACTAAAAATTGAACTGCCATTTGACCCAGTGATCCCACTTCTAGGAATATACCCTAAGAAGCCTGAAACACCAATCAGGAAGAATATATGTGCCCCCATGTTCGTAGCAGCACTATTTACAATAGCTAAGATCTGGAAACAGCCTACGTGTCCATCAGTAGACGAATGGATAAAAAAGCAGTGGTACATATACACAATGGAGTACTATGCAGCTGTAAGAAATAACGATCTTTTATCCTTTGAGACGACGTGAAGGGACCTGGAAAGTATTATCCTGAGTGAAACAAGCCAAGCAGAAAAAGACAAATACCACATGATCCACTTGTTTGTGGAATATAATGAACATAACAGTCTGAGGAATAGGGTAGACCCAGAGACGTGGAAGTAGGGTACAGACTGACAATCCCCAGAAGAGGGGGTGGTAGGGGGAGGGAAGAGATAAACCACAGAACTTATATGCATGTACGCATAACCAATGGACATGGACAACAAAGCCAGGGACGGGGTGGGGGTGGGGGGATGGGGAGGAGGGTGTCAATGGTGTAAAAAAGGAAAAACATCTGTAACAAAACAAAACAAAACAAAACAAAATTAGGAAAGGACTTGAACACATTTCTCCAAACAAGGTACACAGATGGCCAACAAACATATGCAAAGATGCTAAACATTAGTCATTAAGGATCTGCAAATCAAAACCACAATGATACTTCACCCCCATGAGTATGGTTATAATTTTTAAAAAAGGAAAATAATAGTGTTATCCAGCATGTGGAGAACCTGGAAACCTCATACTTCACTGGTAAGAATGTAAAATGGTACAGAAACCAAGGAAGTTTTGCAGTTCCTCAAAAAGTTAAATAATTATATGACCCAGCAATTTCACTTCTAGGTATATACGTATACCCCCAAACAATTGAAAACAGGGGCTCAAATATTTGTACATGAATGTTCCTAGAAGCACTATTCACAATAGGCAAATGGTGGAAATCCAAATATCCATCAACAGGTAAACCGTTGGCATAAATTTAAGCAGTGGATTATTGTTCAGCCGTGAACAGAAATGATTAATGCTAAAATGTGGAGGAACCTCAAAAACATGCTAAATGAAGGAAGCCAGACACAAAAGGTTACATACTCTATGACTTACATGAATTATCCAGAATATGTACATACTATAGAAACAGACTGCTGGTTGGGAGGCTGGGGGGAAGGGGGAATGAAGAGTAACTCTTTACTGGGTAAGGTTTTATTTTACTATAATGAAAATATTTTTGAACTAGATACAGGTGGTGATGGCACGCTGTTAATGCACAAAATTGTTTACTTTAAAACGGTGGATTTTGTTTTATGGATTGCTTCAAAAAAAAAAAAAAAAAAAAAAAAAAAAGCCTTCAAACTCCTGGAAATTGCCTTTCTCTTCACTTGTTAGGCCATTAGAATTCTAAATCCCAATTTGGTCAACGTGCTTAAGAAAGATGTGGAAAAATTAAAGATGCACAATGAGATGAAGGTAACACTGACCAAGGCAGTGCTTTTCTGGGTTTTTGGCTTAAGCAGTGTAGTAGATAGTGGCATCATCTATGGAAAAATTAAAACAAACAAAAACAGCTGAAGGAAGTACAGATATAGAGAAATTAAGTTTTGTTTTGGCCATGTGTTTTACAATCTGAGTGGAGATGACAAATATGAGCCTGGAGCCCAGGGCTAAAATTGTAAATGAGCAAGTGACAGCAAAGGCCGTGTGACTAGAAGGCACTGCTTGTTACTGGTGCTCCATCACGCACCTGAATGTGGCTGGACAAGTGCGGCAATCTGCCCATTGTCCCTATTAACATCACCTTTTCACTCTCAAAAATGTCTGTATAACAAATTATGTGGCCACTCTTCGTATAAAAGAAAGAATGTAGGTCAGATAATTCCTTTAATACAATGGCAGGTGTTAACAGACTTCATAAACACATCATGACAATTTAAAGTACTTAAGAATAAATGCAACTGCTATTTTCAGAAACGGAATCAATGGTAAATAGTCTTTTATTCTTATGCTTTAAGCAAAGCAGATTAATCACATTCCCTCCTTTGATATGATCACAGAACTTCAGCATTATAAGGGGACCTGAGAAGTTATCAAGACTTATTGTTCTTTCAATGCAAACATGCATTTTATGACACTAGAGATAGCTGGTCATGTCTCCCACCAGTTCTCAACAGAGCAGTAACATCTCCAAGTCTTCAAATAGGCACTGTTCAGTCTTACTGAACAAAGAAATCTTATGCAAAAATGAGGAAGACAGTAAAATTAACTGAAGATATGTTCTTGTTGCTTAAATTAGTTTCCTGTTGCTATGCAACACAAGCTTGTGATATATTCTAACAGAACTTTTGCTCATTTAACAAAAGTAATAAACGTTAAGTCCAAGAAAATAGAGATTAACACTACTAGCAAAAACCAAGATACAGAAATCCCATCCCCAAAAAAGAGACTTAGAGTTTTTAAAAGCATGTTTATGTGACTGCACATAAATGTGTGTAAAAGGGCATTATGACAGTTTTTACCACAAAGATTACAGTAAGAAAAAGCACTTTATGACAATATTTCACAAATTCACAAGGACCATTTTAATATACAAAGCAATGCTACCATTCTGAACACAAAGCAGCTAATATGTACATAGTGTTAATAAAATGCTTTATAACTCAGTACATTTTTTCTTTACACAGATAAAGCACAAAAAGATTTAAGTAAAAAAATTAAAACAGGGATGTTTCTAGAATGTAGGAAATTTTATTAGAAATGTATTTTCCTCATTATATTTATTTATTTAGTATTCAACTCCAATAGCAACATCAGAGTTGAAAATCAATACCCTGTTTTGTGCTGATAATTTTGGGGGGAGGTATTTGTAACCCCAATCCTCAAGGGAAAACCAAAAAAGCAAACACCGTTCTCTCTAGAAACTTCCCTGATTATATTGTTTGTAAAAAGTTTCAAGTGGTACATCTAGGTTAGGAATATTCCTTTTTGGGGTGGGGATGACAACTGACATGTGGACAAATCAGTCAGGAACAACTTTACATGGAAAACTGCTAACTAGCACTCTTCTTTGCCACCCCTAATAATCTATACTTACAGAAAAATGTTGACAAATTATTTCCCACTTTTAATATAAATAATTTTATTACATACACAAATTGGAGTGGCACCTGGATAAAAATACGTCTATAAAGCATTTACCAATTCAATTTTAAAAACATAAGAAAATAAACCTCCCAAACACAATGCTAGATCATTTCACTTGGCCAACTAACCTAAGATCATATCTGCAGGGATTTTCTTCCTTCCCTACGAAATTTCAGCTATCTCAGATTTACTTTCATATCTGAGATGCTCCTCAGACAGAAGCTTGGAAATGCTATACTTCCATAGGCAAGTATTAAATAATGCCTGTATAAAGTAGGTAAAATTTGAATTTCCTATTTGACCCTTTTCAAAGACATTTTCTGAATTCTGTTCATTTTCCTTTTTCTTGCTGGTGAGAATTTAAAATGTATCATGATATACCAAGCTAGGACCTGCACCCACAGTACCAGAATGCAGACAGGTCAGTATTTTCTCTGTGCTAAACAACTCTGCCTGTTTGATAATATCAATTTTGCTTCACAGGCTTTGTTCTATTTTTTTTTTTCTATTTTTATTTTTTTTTTAAAAAATAAATTTCAAGCTAAAACACCTGAAATATAATCCCTCCATTCAAACATTATCTGGTCCCTCTTAAAGTTTGTCTGCCCCTGAGGACGCATACAAAGGCTTAAGCTACATTCACTAATCAGTAAGAACTTATCATAAGCATGAGAGACAGATGGAACTTCAGCACCCTGTTTGATTTATTTGAAATTCTTCCATACTGACTCAGCTTCATGATATGTTCAACCCCGCAGGGATTAGTGCCTCTCTTAGCCATTGATTCTATAGTTAAGGAAACCAGTTCCTAGTACATACAGTGACTGTGCAGTTAACTTAAAAAAGTCAACATATTAACATTAAAAGTATTCAAGATGTATGTAAGCCACTCAAAAGTTCTAGTTGTGCTTTGTACAACTGAGTGAGCAAGTTTATCCCACAACTTTTCACCAACAGGCTTACTAATAAGCACATTTCACTTTCTCCCTCCTCATCTGAAATCAGTCAAATTTAGGCAGCATCTATTTGATGTCAACAAGGCCAATTTTCAGTGAAATATATTTAGTCAAATGATTATATGTGGTTTCCATTATGACAATAATCAACTGTCTTGAAAATTATTTTACCATTCTGGACAAATCCATGGACATCTTGGCTTTCTATAGACAGTATTAATGTTGGGGTGAGGATAAAAGTCTCATTTAAAATTGGAAATATTTATTCACTTCAGTTGCTTTTCTTTCTATCTTTATCCATGATGAAAAAGAATAAGGGTTAGGACCCATCTTCTAATTAATGGGACTAGTCGAATCTAATTGCCTGATTTCTTTTACAACTATAAGGCTAGCTGATAGGTGCTAACATATTTTAATCAATGAGAAGTTTTCATTTTAAAAAGTCCCAATATTTGAAGAAAGGAGAAAGACATAAAAAGTCAGTTGACAATTAATTGATGAGGGAATTTCTCAAGTTGCTAATGCCCAAACCGGGTCATTTTTAAAAGTGCAAGTTACACCAAACATTTACAAAGAATATAATGTAAATATAATCCAAACAAATATACAATTTTTGTATTAAGTCAATGGGAAGCAATATACCAACAGTTTTCAGGGCTACAAAGGCAATACAATAAAGCCTCTTGAAAATAACTGAAAAGGTATATAACCACTATTTCTAACACACTTTAATTCAAAATCTTAACTTTGAAGTATGAGCTTTATTTAATCCTGCAAAATGAAGCAAACTTTTTGATCTTCAAAATAAAGAGACAAATGTATGCTGACTGTAGCTGATCACAGAATTTAAAAAATATTAAAAATGAAAAGAAGAAATCTAGATTGAAGTCACTTCAAGTAAGTAAAAGCATCCTGGTTTAAACAAACTTGTTTCTTCCTAAGCCTTTGTATGATTCCACATGTCACCCGAATGGTCAAAATGATAGTAGGGATTAGGCTTGAGAGACACAGGACTTCGGATTGGACAGCCTGCCTGGCTGGTATTGTGCTTTCAGATACTAGCACTGCTGCTGACCTATCATCAAAACACATTTTCTGACAAAATCCCTGCTCAAATGAAAATACCAAAATTCCTCCCCCAGGATGACTTCTGAAATACCAGTGGTACCCTTTAGAGGCTATCTTTAAAATGTTCTTACCACTGTTATAGCTGCCAGAGACAAAGCATAAAATCCAAATACTTTGGGGGTGGAGGGGAGTTTTCAAGTGACTAGTAACATATTTAAAATATCAAGCCAAAGAAAATTAACAATAAGAAAAAAAAAAACACTTGGAAGAAAATTAGAAGACAAAAATCAATCATGAGTGCTGGAGTAATGCAGTCCAAGAAACTACCAAAAGGTATGCAATAGAACACGCAAAAATGTAAAATTTCATCTGACCTCAATATACTATAATACTCAGCATTCCTGACTTAAGAGCTCTCAGAGCTTCAGATTATATACTGTATGTATATATATATATATGTACACGTATATTATACAAATGCCATTCCCCCCAAGAATATCTAAATGAACAGAGCACCCATGACAGTATTATGGTTGCCAATATGGTACTTGAGTTGGAAAAAGAATGAACTTAAAATTATATCGATATCAATTTTTTAATAATGTGAACACATTGGATCTAGCCCTTTCTAAACCATTTTTCAGTTAAACACTATCAAAGCTTGAAAACTAATAAGAGTAATATCAAAAATAAACCCCTCCCTCTTTATTTTTATTAATCTGTCCTATAGATAAAAGTGCCACATGGCCCTATATTTGTAAAGTGATACCAAACTATTATCTAGGCAAATCAGTAGCATATGTACAGATTCCTATGATGACAGTTCCATTCCCTTTTGGCCAATATGAAGAGCAAAAAAACAATTATTACTAGTAATGTGGCCACATATGTGTTGGCTACAAGATTTTTTTTTATTATGTCATTTTATTAATAAAAATTCTCAAAGTTGCATGCTTAAAAACTAACACCTGTCCCCCAATTCTTGTGTAAAACAAAGTCTGCACAAAAGACTTGCTTTCTATCTATATAAACTGAAATCTTCAAGTCTCTCCGAGGGTCTAAAACAGATTTAGCAACAGAATACATTTGTTACCTCACCATTAAGTTACTGACTTCAAACCAGTGCAATCATCCTCGAGGTACAAAGGACCCAGTCTTTAAAATTTACAAATCCAACCAGCTAATATGGAAGTGATTGCCTTGATTTATCAGGGACTGAGGACCACCAAATTTCTAATTAAATAGAAAGCCCCAACTTTTGAAAATTGTTTAACTTTAGTTTACAACTTGCTAAATACTAGGTAATTTTTATTTATAAAGCTATGACATTCAAAATGTCCACTTTGACATTTTGACTCATTATGAAATAATTCTAGTTGGTGAACAGATTTATGATTTTGCTTGGTTTCTGTTAAACCAGTTTTGGGAAATGACATCTCTGTGCTAGTATACAAATAAATTTTATGCTATAACTTTCCCCATTAGCTCAGCAGGATAAACATCAAACTTTACAGTCGTTTGAAAGCCTTCTTGAGAATCTGGTGTATTGTCCAAATATACTACACCACTCAATTCTTAGAATGATGCTCCTTCATAAACTCTGTTCATCCTTGAAAAAAGACAATGGTTTGTTACAAACAAAAATATACCATTTACAAATATTAATTAAAAACCTCACTTTTCAAAATTGACCCAATAAACACTCATCTGCATATTTTAACACATTAATAAAGTAAACTTTAAAAAGTAACCCATGATAAAGCATAAAACAATAATTTTCTAGACTCTCTTCTAAAAGAAATAACCTTCTCAAATGAGAAATTACATCTAACATTATGTCAGTTTCCAATTTTAAAAATCCACCTTAGTCTTATTTTTCTTTTAAAGGATAACTTTTAGATTTATCAGGTTTAGGGAATTAAATGAATAATTAATAAAAAGTAGTACTGGAAACAATGTTATGATACATACAAACACAGACTGTTATAGTTAGGAGTCAAAAAAGTTATCTCATAGAATGACAAAAACTATATAGCATATTGGAAACCCAAAGCATAATTATCCTTTTTTAGAAGAAAATAAAACACATTTTGCAAGAATAATAATCCAAATATTGTAGTACAGCAGTCATTCAAACATGTCTGAAGAAAATTACTTTCCTTGTTACATCTAATAGTGTACTTTTTAGAGCTATATCCTTACAACTTCATTAAAAAAATTCACTAGAGATACTCTGTTAAAGTATGTTAATATGGAAAAGATTTAAAATAAGTATTTTTCTACAACACAACATTTTATAAACAAATATATCACTTTGCTTTACTTAAAATCTTGAAGGCTTTCCTGTTGGTGGTATAATGTAAATACAAATGGGAACGGTTTAATTAGAAAAAAATTTTAAGTAAATGAGTGACAATATAAATATTTTTGAAGGCGATGACAAAAACATTTATTAAAAAACCTTGTTATATAGCTCAGAGGGCTGGTTTGAGTAAAGAGCATCTTTTCACTAAGAATTTAGTACTAACTAAAACAAACTTTGTACTTATATTTACTTCAATTTAATTTAAAATTAAAATACCATGCTTTTTTCATTCAGTTGGTTACTTCTTTTAATGTATTCAAAAATGTTGAACACATACAGAACTGAATTAAGAAGCAACAACTGCCCTATGGAAGAGCTGTAGTTAATACAGAAAGTTTTTAAGAATTAAGGACAAGTTTTCAATATTGAAGAGAATGTACATAGAAGCACTCCAAATTCATTCTTAGTTTCTTCAACACCATACTAAAATTCTTTAGAGGGTATGTCTTTTAACAATTTTACATAATTCACAATGAAAATGTGAAAAAAACATGTCAATTTGGCAATCACACTTCTTCATTGCACCTTACTTACTTTACGCACGCGGCCCACACATTACTTCAGCTCAAGAGGCTGCGGTAATTCTGTCCCTAAGCACAAACCTTGAAATGATTAAAAATTTTTTTTCATTTCCTCATTTCCCCCATCAATTTACAAGTAAACCAATTATTACTTCTTGAGGAAGGTGGGGGATGAAATGCAGAAGTGTCTTCATGATTCCTGGTGCTGAAAATTTCTTGAGGGGAGAAGTGGAGGCAGGTGTAGGAACATTCACAGTTTAATGCAAAAGCACAAATGAGTGAAATTCTGTAGCTGCTTTCAGGCAGTTTTGCGCATAGAAAAAAAGAAATGTTTAGAAAATAAAATGTTTATTTTGTCTTTCTGGTTGTGGCCAAGCCAGTTCTTTGTCCACCGTAACAGGTGAAATTTAAATCCCAAATTAATCTGATTTGTGGCAGTAAAGGTCCTTAAGTGCTTTTAGCTCCTCAATCAGTGTCTTGTTTTGGTTTTCAAGCACTGCCACTCTGTTTTCTAAACATTTCACATATTCTTTCTTCTTTCTACGGCATTCTCGCGCTGCTTCCCTATAAGCAAAAAAGGACAGAAAATACTATGTAACATTTCTGTACCACTTATTTTGGGTTGGAATACACTTCGTTTTTTAGAAATTTAGCTCATATTATTTAAAAATATTATAAATTCAGCATTTAAAAAAGTACAGAACAAGTTGAAAACTGCCTTATATAAACATTTCCTTTTAATATACCATATAAGTTTGATTTAAAAAATCCCATATGTGAAAGCCCCACAATCAAACGTGCTGAACAATCACTGAAAAATCACATTTTTAAAATGTTTATTAAAATGTTCTACATCATGCCTATAAAACTTGAAATTCTATTAATATCAGTAACTAAGAAAATGTTAAGTAAATTTAAGTGTGAAAAACATTCTTTAAATACAAAGATCTCACAAACTCATTTTTTCAAGGCATTTAAAAAATCTAACAGTCTCTTCAACAAATGATCTTGAAAAGACATGCAAAAGAAGAAAGTTGGACCCCAAACCATATACAAAATTTAAATCAAGTAGATTAAAGACCTAAATGCCAAGACATAACTAGAAGAAAACAGCGGAAAAGCTTTAAGACAGTGGATTTGCCAGTGATTTCTTGACTAAGTCACCAAAACCACTGGCAACAAAAGTAGAAGTAAATATGAAAGCAAATATGAAACTACATCAAACTTCCTACAGAATGGGAGAATATTTGCAAATCATATATTTGATAAGGAGTTAATATCTACAACAAATAACCTGCTTAAGAAATGGGCCAAGGACTCGAATAAACATTTCTCCAAATAAGATATACAAATGGCCAACAAGCATATAAAAAGATGCCCAACATCAATATAATCATTAGAGAAATGAAATTCAAAACCACAATGAGGAATATCCTCACAGCCTCGGATGGCTACTATAACAACTACCCAAACAGCAAATAACAAGCGTTGATGGGGGTGTGAGGAAATCTGTAAACATATACACTGTTGGTAAGAAGATAAAATGGTGCAGCTACTATAGAAAACACTATGGCAAGTCCTCAAAAAATTAAAAATAGAATTACCATATGGCTCAGCAATCTCACTTCTGGGAATATATCCAAAAGAATTTAGAGCAGGATATCAAAGAGTTTGCATACCCATGTTCATAACAGCATTATTCACCATAGCCAAGAGGTAGAAAGAAAGCAACCCAAATATCCATTAACAGATGAATACATGTTAAAGTGTAGTGTATATATAAACAATGGAATATTATTATTCAGCCTTAAAAAGCAAGGAAGTCCTGTTACATGCTATAACTTGGATGAACCTTCAGGATATTATACTAAACATAATAAGCAGTCACAGAAAAACACTGTATGACTGCACTTCTATGAAGTATCTAAAGTTGTCAAACTCATAAAAACAGAAAGGAGAATGGTGACTGCCGAAGGCTAGAGAGGGAGGGGGAAATGAGGGAAGTTGTTATGGAGTTTAAGTTTTACAAGATGAAAAAGTTCTGGAGATCTGCTGCACAATAATGTGAATACACTTAACACTACTAAACTGTATACTTAAAATGGCTAAGATGGCAAACTTCACGTTTGTTTGTTTTTTGTTACAACTAAAAAAAAAATCTAACAGATTAAAAGTAATAAAAAATATTTTTTAGCAAGCTACTAAGTCACTAGCACAGGGACTGGCATAAAGCAGGTACTTACTGTTGAATGAACATAAGAGTTGAAAAACAGAAAGGGTTTAAGTCTTGAAGAAATGAAACTCATCACCCCCCTTGCAATTTACAATCACTCATTTACAACAGTGGCAGTATAGCATAGCAATTAAAGTAACTTAAATGTGTCAGATTTGTAGGTTTAAGTGGTTCTATCCCTTATCAATTATGTGGCCACAGGTAAATTATTTAACCTTTATTTCCTGACTGAAGAGAGATAGTATTACCTACCTCAAAAGTTTTATGAGGATTAAAGGAGTTAATATATGAAGACTACATGAAATGGTGGCTGGAATTTTGTAAATGCTACATATGCATTAGCTATTATTATTTCTAGATAACTCAAATGGCAGTCTGTTATAATCCTATTAATGTCTTCATCCCTCTATAGCCCATCAATTCAAAAAAGGGAAGCATTTTCTTATAATGCAAGCTGATCTTTGGCATAAAAAAACTGCACCCAATGTTGTATATTTGATAGATATGAACAATGTATGGTACACTGTATCACTCTACCATTGGAGAAACATTTTTTGAAAATGGACGAACATTCTATTGAACAGTGAAAAAGACAAGCCAGGATGTCCTATGAGGCTAGGAGTGATTTAAAAGGCAATAGTGGGAATGATTTAGAGGTCAATTTGGATGTTCTGTATGTGGTGAATACTAACAATACAGAGAACATTTACAATGCATGTACAGTTACATATCTAATTTCAGCCAGGGCTGACTAATTTTATTTCCCTTGCTTTCTCCTCTCCATTATCTGAGAATTTGTAGTCCATAAGTGCCCACATGAATGCTAGATCTACATGCTAATTTCCAAAGTTAAATTAATATGATCGTATAAGTTAGTACCTCCCAATTTTGTTTCACCAAAATCAGTACAGTTGTCCCTCACAGAATATCAGAGGGGCCCCACGGATACCAAAATCTGCAGATACTTAAGTCCTTTATGTAAAATAATGTAGTATTTGTAAATAACCTAAATATATCTTCTTGTATACTTTAAATCATCTCTAAATTACTTATAATACCTAATATAAATGCTATGTAAATAGTCATCATACTGTATTGTTTAGTGAATAACGACAAGAAAAATGTCTGTAGATATTTAGTACAGACACTACTATCAAAGGTCTAATAACATAGTGCTACATATAAGCAACACCACAAGACCCCCCCTCCCCAATTATTTCTGATCTGAAACTGGTTGAATCTGCAGATGCAGAACCTGCAGATATGGAGAGCTAAATGTATACTATAGGTTGTGAAAGATTAAAATGATTCTCAAAAGAAAAAAAAAGAAACACTGGGCTAAGGAAATTAAGTTATTTATTAAATACAAGACCTCTTTGATCCTTTCAATATACTAAATCTCCAAAGAGAAATTCTATGTAGCATGTCCCAAATGGAATTTGACTACATGAAATACTTTTGCCGGGGGATTGGGGGAACGACGACAGGGGGATGGACACCAAATAAATTTCAATTAGCACTGCCATGCAGAATGATGCTCAATATAGGCACAGTTTAAAATAAGCAAATTTGGATACCAATTTAATCCAGTACGATAGAGTAGCAAAAATTCTAAACTGAGGGTTAGGAAACGGGTTCAGAACCTGACTCAGACATTAACTAGTTGTGTAGCTTCTAGCAAGTTTCTTTCCATTAAAAGACTGTTACTCATCTGTTAAAAAAAATAGGACTAATCAACCTGTCCCAAACCAAGACCATTAGCTTTGTATTAAGGAGTATGTAAAACCAGGCAATAAATCTGATAATTCATTCTAAAACACTAATTTTAATCTATGGGGCAGAGGGTAGCAAGCATTTTCATATTAAAATAAACATTACTATATTTTGGACTAACATACAAAATTAAAATAAATTTTATTTTTATTTTTTTGGTGAACAGTTTATTAGAGACTTTAATAGATTTACTTTTTAATCACAGACTACTGATAAACATCAACAAGTTGACAGCAGAAGTCTAATGTCATGAAGAGGGCCGACGGTCAAACAATGGGAGTGAACAGAGATGATCAGCATATCAACTTTAAAAGAACTCCTTAGTTTGGAGAATGCCTCTTAAAGCCTCTCAAAAATTTCTATCTAAATATTTTTAAGATCAGAAGAAAATGAAAGGACTATCCCAGTGGATTGGTGAGCACATGGTGTGAAGATTAAACTGACTGCTGATGCCTCCTCCATTATAGAAACAGACTTTTATGATTCCAAGCATTCATGCAAACAGATGGCCTATCAATTCTGAAATTAATTTGATAGACACTTTTAGAAAAAAGTTTTTTCACATAACTTCCTCCTCCTACATTTACTGAGCTAATTCTTTGCCTATATGTGATAATGGTTTTATTTATTCTTTCCTTTTTTAGCATCTTCAGTGCTTCCTGATTTTTTGTCTTTTGCTTTCAAAGAAGTTTATCAATTGTATCTTTGTAACAACCAATTTTTAATTTCATTTGTTTTTCCTCTTTTTAATTTCATTAATTTTAACTTGCTTTTTCCCCCTAGTTTCTCAAGATGGAAATTAGGTTGGCAAACTTTTTAAAGGGCCAGATTGTAAATATTTTAGGCTTTCAGACTGAGTAAGGTCTGTCACAACTCCTCACCTCTGCTGTTGTATCATGAAAGTAGACATTTGATAATACATAATTAAATAAACATGGCTGGGTTCCAATAAACTTAACACAGTGAGGTGCTGTATGCCAACCTCTGACATAGATGAGTGATTTAAGGCCTTCTTTTCTAACCTAAATATTTAAGGGTATAAGTTTCCCACTAAGCACTGATTGAACTGCATCTCACAAATTTTTGTCATTTTCATTTGCATTCAGTTCAAATAATTTTTATTTTATTATTTTTAAATTAATTAATTATTTACTTATTACTTACTTATTTATTTTTATCCTCACCCAAAGACATTTTTGCACTTATCTTCAGATAGAGCAGGAGGGAGACAGGGAGGAAGAAAGAAACATCGACGTGAGAGAGACATATTGAGTGGTCGCCACCCACCTGACCCCAACCAGGGTGGGGACAAACTGCAACCGAGGTACGTGCCCCTGGAGATAACCAAACCCGGGACTCTCTGATCCCTGGGCTGACGCTCTAACCTCTGAGCCAAACCGGCCGGGGCGAGTTCAAATAATTTTTAAAATTTCCTTTTGACCTACAGAGTTAGAAAAGTTTGCTGTTTATTTAATTAATTCCAAATAACTGGGGATTTTCCCAGATGTTTTATTGTTCAAGAACATACTCTGTATTATTTCGATTCTCTTAGTCACAAGTGTCATATAAATGACAAACAGGTTGATAATGTTATTCAGGTTTTTTATATCCTATATTTCTTTTCCATCATTACTGAGAGAGGAGTGTTGAAATCTTCAATCATAATTATGAATGTGTCCATTTCTTCTTTTAGTTCCATCAGTGTTGTCATATCATGTATGTTGAAGCTGTTAGGAGCATACACATGTAGAATTAGGTCTTCTTAAGGGGACTGACCCCTTTATCATATATAATGTCCTTCTTTATCCCTGACAATGATCCCCCTTCTTTAGATTACTATTTGCATGGTATACCATTCTCTATCCTTTTCCTTCTAACCTATCTGTGTTTTTATATTTGCAGTGATATTTTTACAGACAGCATATATTTAGATCTTGGTTCTTTCTTCTGTTTTACATCTTTTAATTGGGTTAAAAGGGACTGGCAAATTATGATCCTGGATCAATCCAGGTAGCTTGTTTTTTTATAACTGATAAACTTCTAGCCAGACTCAACAAAAATGTGTGTGTATGTGTGTCTGGAGAGAGAAGCCACAAATGAATTAATACTGTTGGCCCTCGTTTATCATGGTCAATCAGTTCCAGACTCTATCGCAATAAATGAATTTCCGTGAAGTAGGATTCTTTATTTATACAGTCCTCCCTCCCCACTTTGCACTTTGACTTTCGCGGCTTCACTCTAAAAATCCGCAATAGAGCGAAGCCGCAAAAGTTGAAGCTTGAAGTGGCGAGGGACAACGTATCAGGAATGAAATCCCTACTAACCCTAGACATTAAAAGAATAATAAGTAAATACCACAAACAATTATGTGTCCATAATTTTGATAACAGAAGATATGGGCCAAATACTTAAAAACACAAACTTCTAAAACTTGATGAAGCAGAAATATATTCTGGATTGTCTTTTATTTATTAAAAGAAATTCAATTCACAGTTTAAAAAAAAAAAAATATATATATATATATATATATATTTTTTTTTTACTTTATTGATGAGGGAGAGAGAGACAGAAACATCAATCAGAGAATATCATCTGGCTGCCTCCTGCATGCCACACACTAGGGATCGGGCCCACAACTTGGGCATGTGCTCTGACCCGGAATTGAACCGGCGACCTCTTAGTGCATGGGTCGATGCTCAACCACTGAGCCACACCGGCTGGGCAGTTTTTATAAAAAACCTTTCAAACAATGAAAACTCCAGGCCCAGATGGTTTCACTGGCAAATTATGCCAATATTTAAGGAAAAGACATATTAATTCTATACAACCTCTTCCAGAAATAAGAGAATACTTCCGACCTCATTTTATGAGGCTAGCATGAGTATAACAAATCCAAACAGAAGCATTACAAGAAAACTGTCATGAATGTAGATGAGAAAATCCTTAAAAAAATATTAGCAAATCAAATCCAGAAATATGTAAAAATGGTAATACATCATGACCATGTGTGTGGGTTCAATCCAGGAATACATTCATGTCTCAGCACTGGAAAAATCAAATGATGTACTTTACTAACAGTCTAAATAAGAAAAACCATATGGTCACCTCAGTAGATTCAGAAAAAAGCATTTGAAAAATTTAACAACGATTTATGACAAAAACTCCCAGAAAACTATGAACAAAAGAGAGCTTCTTACTATAAGAAAAAGCATTTACAAGGAGCCTATGCTATCATTATATTTGTGGTCTTGCAAAGATGTCCATATCTTAATCTTTGGAACCTATAAATATGTTACCTGACATGGTAAAGGGGAACTATGGTTGCAGATAGAATTAAGGTTGTAAATCAGCTGATCTTACAATAGGAAAATTATCCTGGAGTATCTGGGTGGACCCAAAGTAATCAGAAGGGTCTTTAAAAGTAGAAGAGGGATGCCCTGGCTGGTTTGGCTCAGTGGTTGGAGCGTTGGCCTGTGGACCAGCAAGTCTTGGATTTGGTTCCCGCTAGGGGCACGTACCAAAAAAAAAAAAAGTAGGAGGGAGGCAGAATATATGACTATAAAAGGAAGACACAGAGAGGTGCTACTTTGATGACTTTGATAGAGAAAGGGAGTCATGAGCCAAGGAATGTTTGGTAGTCAATAGAAGCTGGAAAGGGCAGGAAGACAGATTCGACAGATTCTCCCCTGGCATCTCCAGAAAGGAACACAGTTCCGCTGAATACCTTAATTTTAATTCAGTGAGACCCATGGTGGCCTTTGATCCTAGAGAATTTTAAGATAATAAAACTCTGTTGTCTAAGCCACTAATTTTGTGGTACTTTGTGAGAAGCAACAATAGAAAACTAATGTAGTTCCTAAGATGGGGAACAGGCAAGAATGTCTTCTCTTAGCACTCCTATTCAATATCCTATCAGAAGTCCTCAAGTCTGCAATAAGGTAAGAAAAAGGAAAGATATATGGATTAGAGGAAAAAAATAAAACTGTCCAAATTTACAAACTTGATCGTCTATGTAGAAAATTCCAAAGAATCTACAACAAAACTCCTAGAACTAATAAGTAAATTTAGAATGGTTACAGGTAAAAGATTAATAGAGAACCAATTTTATTTCTATATACCAGAAATGAACTAAATATTTAAATGTAAATAACCCTCCCATCCCTACAACCAAGAAAACCAAAACCCAAAGCCCCTAAGTATTTAGGTTTAAATCTAACAAAATATGTGCAGGAGTGTATGCTGAAAAATGGAGCATATACTGTGTTCATAGAATGAAAGAATCAGTATTGTTAAGATATCAATTCTCCTCAATTTGACCTATAAATTCAACACAATCCTAATAAAAATCTCAAAATCTTTCTCATGGACATTAACAAACTGATTCTAAAATTTATGTGAAAATGCAAAGGAACCAGAATAGCTAAAACAATTCTATAAAAGAACAAAGCTGGAAGGACTCACATTATCAAATTCAAAACTTACCAGTGGTAATTTACATAGCATGATACTGATGAAAGGGTAGACACAGACCAATGAAAAAAGCTACACAGTCCAGAAATAGACCCACACAAATACGGTCAGTTAATTTTCAACAAAAGTGAAATGGCAATAGAGAAAGGACAGTCTTTTTAACAAATGGCGCTGGACAAATGGGTGTCCATATACAGAAAAAGAAACTTGACATACCCCACACCTTATATAAAAGTTAACTCAAAAGGGATCATAGACCTAAATGTGAAACAATTTAATACTTGACATAGAGCAATTGGAACTCTCAATACATTGTTGGTGGGAATACAAACTGGTGCATCCACTTTGGAAAAGAGTTTGGCAGTTTTCTTATGAAGTTAAAATATATACTTAATATTCCACTCAGCTAGCCCACTCCTACATATGTACTCAAGTGAACTGTAAGTTCATATAAAAACCTTTATTTATGTGGCCCTGGCCAGTTTGGCTCAGCGGTTAGAGCGTTGGCCCACGGACTAGAGAGACCCAGGTTCGGTTCCCGCTATGGGTAAGTACCTCGGATGCAGTTTGTCCCCGGCTACGTCTGGGGTTGTGTGGGTGGCAACCAGTCAATGTGTCTCTCTCACATTGATGTCTCTCTCTCTTCCTCCCTCTCTCCCTCCCACTCTATCTAAAGATGAATGCAAAAAATGTCCTCAGGTGAGGATTAAAAAACAAAACAAAACCTACATGTGGAAAGAAATAGTAAAGATCAGAGCAGAAATAAACAACATAGAGACTAAAAAACAATTCAAAAGAGACTAAAAAACAATGAAACAAAGAGCTGGTTCTCTAAAAAGAGAAACAAGATTGATGGACCCTTAGCTAGACTCACCAAGAAACAAAGAGAGAGGACCCAAATCAACAAAATAAGAAATGAAAGAAAAATAACAACTGACACCACAAAACAAACACACACAAAAAACAACCCCTATATGTAAGTGTTTATAACTTTATTCATAATCCTCCAAAGCTGGAAACAACTAAGATGAACTTCAAGGTAAACCACAGTACATACATACAATGAAATACCAGAGATAAAAACCTATTACTGACTCATGCAACACTGTCAATGAATTTTAAATGCATTTTGCTAAGTGAAAGAAGCCAGATCCAAAAGGCTACATCCTGTATGATTCCATTTATGTTAGATTCTAGTAAAGGCAACCATGGGTGGGTTGTGGGATCCTGTTTTATAAAAGAGAAAACTGAAGTTTAAAAGGTTAGTATGTTCTTCCAAAGTCACAGCAAAAGGGGGTATATATCCAGGTCTGAATCCAGATCTTCGATGTTTAATCTCTGTTTCTTTCACTTTACTCATAGTGTCTGAAGAATTTTGAGGTGAACAGCAGAGAAATATTTTCACCAATTTATAACTTTTCCTATCTTTCTATACCTATTTTCATTTCATTCATACTGAAATCCTAAGGTAAATATAAGTAAATAAAAACATATTGTTTTTTAATGACAAATCATTTACATTTATGAATTTACTTTATGAGTAGATTTTTCATAAATTTTTGTTATGTAGGATTTTTACTGTTCACTAATTCTATTTTAAGATTTTGTCAATCACAAGGTATTCATAGACAACCTACTTTCAAAGAATATTTAGGTGTTTAACTATTCATGGATTGGCCATCACACATTTATTTTATTACAAATAAATTTAATTATTTAATTTTAATATACATACATGAAACTTTGATCGTCTTAAAATATACTATTCATGAAAAGAAACAATTTTTAAATAACCTCGCCAGCTGGTTAAAGCCAAATGAGGACATAGCAAATTATGCACTAAACCTCTCATGGGGAAGCTGCAAGAAAGAAAACTACTTGATGATCAAAGACTGATCCATAACCCTGTTAGCCATCTCATAAGTGCAGCTTATTAAATAAGTTTTTAAGCAAGATCCATCAATTCTATCAGAAAAAAACTCAACACAAAGATCCTATTGTTAGCAGATGTAAAAGACACCTACCTGGAAGAATGTGAAGACATACCTGACTTACAACAATCTTAGTAAATGCAAACATATGTACCTGTTCTTCATTAGGCGAACCTCTCTCTTTCGTGCAGCTTCTTCAGCAGGCTGTGTAGGAAGCGCTGGGGAGGAGGCCATAACAACTCCAGGGGCAATGGTGCTAGTGGGTGCTGTGCGAATCTGGTATGTTTGTACATCTCCAGAGGCAGCTGAAAAGAAAAATAGTGAACATGGTGTAAGACACTGAAGGACTCTGACCTGGTAAATTAGGTACATCAATCATCAATTTAAATTTACATTTTGGATTAAAAGGGGAAAAAAAAGGAACTGATGATTCTGACTAAAATATTGAAAGAATCAGCACTCCTTGAGTCATTACTGAGAAATAATTCCCAACTTAATGTATTTATTGGTACAGATTTGGGTAAAAGAGGTCTTAACCTATGTCTGCTGGGTTTTTTATTTATCTTTCATTGGAATGCAGTTCTATTCTGTTGTTAACATGCTTACCAACCTTAAGTCTAAAAGGTAAGCAGGGCACAGCTTGGATCATCTTCCTAGACATAGTCCTCAATGTCTTCCTTTGATATTGGTAAATTCATATTAAAAAATTTCAAGTAGACTCTTGCCACGACATAAAAACGACCATGATTTTTTCATAAAATAGGAAATGGAAGAGAAAATAAAGCATTATAGTCAACTATTAAAAATTTCTAATTGACACAAAACTGTAAGTATGAAAAAGTGTACCAAGTGATGCCAATTATATAATTTGTAAACACTGTTTTAATGTAAATGATAATGGCTAAATCAAGTTTTATTCTTCTAACTAAATGACCTATCAATTGTTAAAAGAAATACAATCACTACTGTCAAACTGCTTTTAAAAACAGCTTAACAATATGCCTTCCTAAAAATAAGGAACCTAACATTATCTGAGAGAATTTGAAGGTCTTTATAAAATTATCCACATTTGTTAATATCAATTAAAATGTGTAGTTTGAGTGGAAAAGATTTATATACTAAACATGTTACCATCTTCAAACTGACGTTCAGAATTCAAATTCACTGACATCCTGCTTTACAATTTTTGAGTACCTGCATGTAAAGTGAAAAGGTGTTTTACTCCCATTAACAAGCAAAATATTATCTTCTTCAAATATTATTTTTTAGTAACAGAATATATTCTGTAAATACATTAGGGCCCTTTAAATAAATTATGACTCTCTCTAGTTGATATTTTAGAATTATTCAAAAATTATCATCCATGATGTAGGGGCTCAACTGTCATTACCTAACAGAGATAAAACATATTATTAATGAAAACATTTTTTTATCTTCTCAATATGCAAACTTTCAATCTGGCATAAAGCATTTTCTTAAAATATTCAAATAGTTTAAAAGAAAACTGGTCAACTCCTACCTATAAAGATTCCTGAAACAAATTGGAAGTAAACACAATTAAATTAAATTAAATTAAATTAAACAGAAGAAAGTTATTTCTATAATTTATCAAGAATTTAACTACTGCTTTTCTCCACAAACCAAGCAGAGTTGCATACTGGTATAAGATTTTTCAGAATATAATGCTTTCATCTGAAATAAAAAATGATGATCTTAGAAATGAGGATGTAAATTTCTTTTGAATAAAAAACAGACAAACAGAATTCTGAACCTCCGAAAGTTCTTTTCAGTAATTTAGTACAACTCTCTCATTTGAGACATGAAAAAAAGTGTGGCCCAGAGAGGCTGGGTCTTATTTAAGGTCACATAGCAAATCTATGTAGTTAGGTATAGAATCTAGCTTTCCTAACTCCTGAATTCATTGTCTTTCCCTTTAACCTACCCTGTTTCTCCTATCCTCAAATTCTAGAGGTGTTAAAGATAAAAGTTATTATTTTAAAAACTGAAAATAGTTGTTTTTATGCCATGACATTTTGGTCCAATTGGAATAATGGAAGAATCCATGGAAAATATTATCTATAATGAAGAAAAATTTATATTTTAACAGTGTTTTGTAGTATGATACTTACTTTGTCTGAGTTTAGAAAATGTAAACCGTTCAAAGAATTTACCATACCTGTGAAATCTGAATTCTCTTACCTTGAACAACAACTTGGTTGCTGGGCACTAAGATCTGCTGTCCATCAGTGGTCTGTGCATACTGTAGAATGGTAGTACCCGGCTGAGTGGCAGCTGCATTGGTCATGGTTAATGTTTGTAGGCCCTGTACCCCATCGGTACCATTGTTAGCCAGTTGTATTGCTCCTCCCTGGGTAATGGCAACTAAAACCCAATGGATTTTATTGTTATAAGTTTAATTAATACCATATAGGATTTTTACAACACACTAAATTCAAAGTAGAATAATTTGTGAGACACACTCAGAGAAATAATAACAGCAAATAACACCGCCAAGAAGGATTTGGTACACTCAAGTACCTTCCTGTACAGGAAACCCACATCCCATTTCTATAATACAAATGCACGCTATGAACCACATTATAATGTATAAAAATGTCTATTAATAATTTTTTAAAAAGTAGGTAAATGAGAAAATATTAAATTCCTTTTGAAGTTATTTGGTTTAGAGGAGGTACCACTTTGTGGTATAAATACTTCCTTTATTCTACTATCGACTACCTAATATTTTTACTATTTAGTATTTGCTGACTCATTAGTAAGTACATTTCTTGAGGGCAGAAGATGTGGTTTTCCTTCTCTACTTTCATGTACTTAGTACAATAATGGGAATGTAATAGGCACCCAATTAAGGGATGTCTTTATACATAATTAATAAAGCAGTTCAGTAGTGTATTCTTTTCTCTAACTTGCTAGCAGTGCACAAGCTATAATAAAAGTCCACTCAATGAGACAACTGAAATGTCTTATGGAACTTAATTATCACAGAATCTCTCATGAAGTTTAAAATCAGAGATTAAGATAATCATTTAGAGAAAAATTACTTTACTACTATTTCTAAGTTACATATCCAAACATTCTCATATAGGACCTTTCTTTGATTTACTAATTAACCACACTTGTCATTCATTTGTTACAAAGTAATCAACTTTGATTCATACTATTAGATATTTTACTTTATTAAAAAAATGAATTCAGCCCTGGCTGGTTTGGCTCAGCAGTTAGAGCATTGGCCTGCAGACCAAGGAATCGCAGGTTCCATTCCAGTCAAGGGCACGTACCTTGGTTGTGGTTCGTCCCTGGCCCTGGTTGGGGTCGTACGAGAGGCAACCAGTCGATGTGTCTCTCTCACATCGATGTTTCTCCCTCTCTTTTCTCATCCCCTCCCTCCCACTCTATCTCAAGATAAATAGAAAAATGTCCTCAGGTGAGGATTAAAAAAAAGAAAAAAAAATGAATTGATATTTATGGTAGAGTGCATAGATATAAAATTAATAAAAAGAAACATTATTTTATTTGGAAGAAGCAATCCTTTAGAAACCAGCATTAAGACAGGTAAGTTGGATCCTTTTCTAGATACTCTCCCTGTTAGAGGTCACATTTTCAAAAACTGAGACTAAAAATTACAATACTACATATAAAATTGCATAATGGATTTTTAACTAAATAAGTCAACATATCTGACTTAAGCATGTTACTTTTTGCCTCTTAGAAAGGAATTAACTTGGGATCAATTGTCAGCCAGCTCTAGGAACTAATACCCTGAGTCATCTGTATATGGAAAATTGATTATCTACTGTCCAATCAAGAAATAATAACAGTTAAAGGCTTTTATCTGGTTTACAAATCATACCTTTGGAAATTAAGACACTGGCAAATACAATCCATTCACTTTAGCTAATCTCATAAATTTTACTTATTTTTGACAAGAATTAAAAAAGGAATATGGCGGCTGGCATGGCTCAGTGGATTGAGAGTCGCCCCATGGACTGAGAGGTCCCAGTTCGATTCCCAGTCAGGGCACATGCTCGGGTTGCAGGCTTGATCCCCAGTAGTGGTGTGCAGGAGGCAGCCAATCAATGTATGTCTCACATCAATGTTTCTACCTCTCTCTCTAAAAAAAATCAATAAAAACATATTTTTAAAAAAGGAATATGTAAGAACTATTCAGAGATTAATACTGCAGGATAACTAGAAAGAATCAGAAGGTTAAGAGAATCAAACCACAATTTCTCATATAGAGTTAATAAGCAAATTCTACTGTATTTAACCCATACAGCTTTCTTGGCTACATACCAATGAACTCAAGGTGGGAAGAAAGAAGTAGAAAACTAGATATCAGGAGATCTGGGGTCTACTCCAAGCTCCATCACTAAACTGTTATTTGAATCTGTTATCTCTTCTGTAAAAATAAAAATATCTGGTTCTAGCCACTAAAGTACAATTGTAAAAATCAAATGAGATAATGTATATTAAAGTACTCTGAAAAGTGAAGTCTGATCTTATCAAACATGGTTTTCCTCAATATTTATTTATACATTTGATTATTCCAAAAGGATTTTAGATAGCTTTTAATAAAACTAAATTCATTAAAGCAAGAAGAAAAAGATAGAAGTCAAGTGACTGATGTGTCTCTAGATATATATAATAATCCTACCAGAAAATCTAGATGGAAAGAATACAAACAGGTAAACAAAACTTAACTGAGATTCTCAGTAGCCAAAATAAAGAAGAAAACACCCTGGATTATAGTTTTGTTAGTGAAACAAAAAATTCAAGGTCAAAATGATAGACAGTTTTTTTAAAACTAAAAATAGAATCTCTCAAACAAGAATTCATTATTGGAGACAGTGAACCAAGTATGGATAAAACTAGTAACGCTATTAATAAAAAAACATAACCAATTTATGGAAGAAACAAAAATTGGTACAGCCACTAGGAAGGGCAACTGAGAAGGATATGCTTTGATTCAACAATTCTACTCTTTGGATGCTACTCCACTGAGACAGTACTACATATATAAGAATGTTCTCGTAGCATTGTTTGAAACAATAGAGCTGTCCTGAAAACTCATCAGTATGTGTGTGGGGGAATGTTTAAATAAATGTTCCATTTTACAGTGAGACATAATACAGCTGTTAAAGACATAATACACATAAGTATGTGTATATAGTCTATGGTATATAAATAATGTAGGTCTCACATGATAACATGTGTATGTATAAATAGAATGAAAATGAAAGAAAGAATTCTTACTACTGGGAAGGGATGAAAAAGATTTTTACTTTTTATTAATACTATGAACCTCTACCACTTGAATTTTCACAACCATGTATTTGTTTTATAAGTTAAGAAATATATAAATGTTCTTGTATATGTAAGTAGTCATTATACTGATCCTTAATGACAATCAAGAACATAATGTTAAATCAGTTCCATCAAGGTCATGCGTGTATACACAGAGAATAAGGGATAAAGATAATAACTAAGCTTTAAAAATCTCAAAATTTTAAAACTAGTAATCTGCTCAGATACTGGAGGAGAGCTATGTGCCAAATTAAACATCTACTGTTCTAAAGTTCACTTCCCTGTTTGAGATTCTGATATGCCTCTTTCCTAAAGAGCATGTTTTCTAGTTCAAGTGAGACTTGATGCATTAAGTGAATCCCTTACACTAACATGCTGAAGGAGAAAAATAAAGGTCAAGTATCTATGTCTTAGAACACACACCTTGAATAACACAAATTATTTGGATTTAAGGCTACAGAACACACACGTACACGTACATAGATAGTACCTGTTTATCTCTGCCAACAAAGAACTTATGGAGGAAAAGGATAACTGAACTATATTAAATTTACAGAGTGGACAAGAAGCTTAGTCAAAAATGCCTTCCTTCTACTTACTATCAAAAGTTTCAGCTTTGAGACAGCTAAAAAGTCTGCTACTTGCAAATTTGTTGTTAATCCAGCTGAAATACAAACCAAGTTTGAATTATAACTGGAAAACTATTAACCTGGGAGTCAAACTTTTACACATATTTCTGACACAGGCTATTCCAGGGCATTAGAAAACTAATGCAGCAAAGGAGTTTCAATGTGTATATTTAATTTGTAATGTACAAATTCAAGGAAGGGAGGGGAGAAAACACAATGGGCAGTACTGAAGTTAATGAACAAATCAAAATGAAGATATCAATGTGTGAAGCACTTTGGGAGGCAAAAAGATATCGGGGAAAGAAAACAAAAAGTACCACTTACACAAATGTCTTTGATCAAATAAAAGCAGAACTCAAAAGTACTTTAAAACAGATTTAGGTGAAAGATAAGAATTACTTAAGTATTACACAGAGATATCACAGAAATGGAAACTGATAATTTTGCAAAGGAAATCTTTGCTTTCTGTGAGCCAAAAAGGACTTAATTTAGCAGTCCTTATGCTTTCATTATCATAATTTACTACACTACCTTTCACATTAAAGGGAATAATAATTGAATATGCTAGTAGACTGCAACCATGCTTCTCCACCCCCACTATGAAACATTAAAATAGATGAATAATGAGACCATTTTGGGCCTTAAACATAATCAAATAATGATTATTTTCTTTATCTGAAAAAAGTATGTTCTCTATTAACATCATATATTACATGAGGACTAAAATTCTAAAGTAGTGGTTCAAAAAGCTTCCACAACTTTCCATAAAGCAAAGGGCCATCTAAAGGGCTTAAATACTTGAGCAATCCAATTAAAACCCTGAAGAAAATACTACTTATAGAACTTTGCATAATGAACAGTAAAGGAAATTCAATAATTACAGTGAGATTGAGAAAAGAGGTTGGCACTTCTATGATTCCTTTAAGAATGCAGACATTAGTTTTTCATCTCATTTTCTAAAACAAAAATATCTATTACTCACTGTACTGTCCACTGCTAGTTTGGTAAATCGGAGTTGGCACCGTTACAGTGGTGATGGCAGGTGCTGAAGTCTCCTCTTCAGACTTCTCTTCTTCAATTCTTGGCACTCCTGGTGCATCAGAAGATAAGTCATTCAAAATTTTCCTGGAAGAATAGAGAACTATATTAATTAAAATAAAAGTGACATTTACTGGCTAAATACAAATAATAGGAAAAGATCAGAAAACTGGTAGGAAGCTGCTAGTGCGTGGGACAAAAGTTTAAAATATAAGAATTTATAAGAATAGCCTGGCCGATACGGCTCAGTGGTTGAACGTCGACCCACGCACCAAGAGGTCACTGGTTTAATTCCCGGTCAGGACACATGCCCAGGTTGTGAGCAAATTCCCCAGTGGGTGGCATGCAGGAGGTGGCCAATCAATGTTCTCTCATTGATGTTTCTGTCTCTCTCTCCCTCTCCCTTCCTCCTTCTCTAAAAATCAATAAAAAAAAAAAAAAAAAAATTACAAGAATAAACTAAAAAAGGATCAGGGGATCTATGTCAAAATGAAACCATACAAGGACCAGAATAAACAAAGATGAATTTTTCTTTAACCTGAATGTTAAACACTGTGATTCAAAATCCAGGTGTAAGTAGAGATTAATAAAATCTGACTACAGAGCCCTAGTCAATATGGCTCAGTGGATAGAACATGGGCCTGTACACCAAAGGGTCGAGGGTTTCAGTGCAGGTCAAGGGCATGTACCTGGGTTGCAGGTTCGATCCCTGGCCCCAGTCGGGGTGTGAGTGGGAGGCAATCAATCGATGTGTCTCTCTTACATTGATGTTTCTCTCTCTTTCTCTCCCTACCTCCTTCCCTTCCACTCTCTCTAAATATCAGTGAAAAAATATCCTCAGGTGAGGATTAACAACAACAAAAATTTTTGACTATAGAAAAAAATCCTTTTGCATGGCAAAGAACAAAAATTAAGCCAAAAGATAATCAATAATACCAGGAGAAAATATTTACATATATTACATATAAAGGACCAATATTCCTGATATATAAAGAACTTTTAAAAATTGATGGGGGGAAAAAAGACCAAAAAACCTAATTTTTAATTTTCAACTTTAAGATTGGCATAAAAAAAAAAAAAAAAAGAGTAACAATATATTGTTAGCAAAGCTGTGAGAAAACAGACATTCTTATATACTGCTGTTGAGAGTATAAAATCAAATAACCTATATGGAAGGAATTCAGTAACATTTAACAAAACTGTATGTTTACATAGTAGTCTTCTAAGAATTTACACTTAAAATATACTTCCAAAAGTATGAAAATACATATATGTAGAGTATTCATGGTAGTACTATTTGTAACAGCACACACTGAAAATGATCTATATGTCCACACACAAGAATGGCTGAATAAACTATGGTTCATCCCATAATGGACACACATGGTACCTTTCGTATAAGAAAGTGAAGTAAGAAAATATACATGTATCTGCTTATCTGTTCAAGAAAAAAAAAAAAAAGTAAATCAGAGTTTAATGAGATTAGTATCTGCTGGGGGTGGTTGGGAAAGAAGTAAAAAAGGACAGAAGAAATAGGCAGGGATACTTTTGAGTATATGTATATATTTTTTGGTACAATTCTAACTTTCGGAATCTTGTTAATGTTTCACATATTCAAAACAAAATAAAATAGTATCAATAAGGATGAAGAAAATTCTAAAAATGGAATATAAACAAAAACAAATGAACCATACCATATTTCAATAAAATAATCACAGAAGAGAGGAAAAAACCCCAACCCAAATGATTTTTGACATCTTAAATTTCCAACAAATCAGTTTGAATTAATAACTTAGCTTTAACAGTCTACCCAAACTCTGCCCATTTATGTTATTATTGTCACATATTACATCTTCATAGTGTGCTCATTAACAGATTAATAATTACTGTTTTATGTATTTGTCTTTTGAATTATATAGGGAAAAAAGAGGAGTTACAAAGCAAAACTATAATAATTCTGGTTTTTATATTTACCTATGTAATTACCTTTACTAGTATTGTATAAAATATTCTACTGTTATCTCTAAATAATTTCCTTTCTCCAAATCCGCCCCCCCTCCGGAAATTCTATAAATGCTTCTATTGAAGCACCTCAATCTAAACTCTATAACTTTTTTTTATCCTCACCTGAGGACATTTTTGCTTTTTTTGTTCAGACAGAGCGGGAGGGAGAGAGAGAGAGAGAAACATCGATGTGAAGGGACACATCGAGTGGTTGCCACCCGCACGACCAACCAGGGCCGGGGATAAACTGCAACCGAGGTACGTGCCCTTAGCAGGAAGGAACCCAGGTCTCTCTGTACCGCAGGCCAACGCTCCAACCGCTGAGCCAAACCGGCCAGGGCTAAACTCTATAACTTTTCACCTGTTTTTCTTTTTCTACCTGTTTCTATTCTCCATTCTGAGTTACCCTCTCAGTTCCCTTTCAGTTTATTACTGGTGGATGTGGTTGTAGTTTTTTTAAATTCCTCGGTTTGCATTTCTCATTTCAACGATTTCTTATTCATGCTTTTCCATTTCTACTTATAATCATTTAGTAAATTTATATTCTTATTGTGAGGAAGATTTTCTTTCCTTTATTTCTCTGCAAATGAGAAACAACTATTTTTAAATAGCTTCTGGGCTGACAACTGGTTAACAGATCACACTTTGGGTATCACGGCTCTAGAGCACTCTTTCTCAAACTCCAGTATACAAACAAAGAACCACTTGAAGAGCCCGTTCCCAGAGTCTAATTCATTAGGTTTGGTTAGAAATTGCATTTCTAACCAGACAGATGCTGATTTATCAGTCTGGTCTGTGGACCATTTTGAGTAGTATTGGTTTCTAGAACAATGTTTTTCAACTGAGGTCACAATCTATATGTGGGGCATGATAAAAATTCAGTATGTTGCAACCAACATAAAACAAGTAAAAAACAGCTGAACATCACATATGATAAAAGTTAATAATGTGCTGTGCAAATTTTCCTTCAGATGCCTATATATAGGAATATATACTCACATATATATTATATACCTATATATTTATATATGAATATGTATAAGTGTATGTATGTATACAGAGAACTATAAAGATATATTTCTTATTATGGATTGTGGTTTAAAAAAGTTTAAAAGACCTGCAAATACATCTTTGTCTTTTGTACAAAGTCAGTGATCACTCTTAGTTTTTCTTTCCAGTTTCTCAAATTGTTGCTCTAGACCATCTTGGTCATTCTCTCCTTGGAGATAGTTCCCATTCTCTTAAAGTATATTCCACATGTGGTCTGAGCAGTGGGATTATAGTTGAGCCTTGAACAATGAGAAGGTAAAAGTGCCAACTGCCTGTGTAGCCAAAAATCCAATATAACTATAGTCAGCCCTCTGTATACCTGGATTCCCAACCATCAGATGATCCTTGAACAACTGGGTTCAAACCAAGAAGGTCCACTAGGAAAAATCTGCTCACAGGTAGACCAGCTCAGGTCAGACCCACACTGTTCAAGGGTCAACTGTAATTCCCTCCCTCAATTTAGACACTAGGTTTTTACCAAAGTAGTCTTACAGTGTATTGGTTTTATGAGCAACCATATCTCATGAATGGTAATTAAAGAAAATAATAATCTTTTTAAAATGAACTGAATCAGAACTCTGTTCTTTGAATAACTGGTTCTATTTTAACCTCAAGTTCATAAGTTTTATAATTATCACCAACATTTCATCCTATGTGTTTCAGTCCTTTCCCCTTGGATGATATGATTTTTCAGAGCACTTCTTCTCCCACCCATTAGGACACTTATCCCTGAAAGGTTCTGTCATTTGTAAATTTGAAAGGCATGGCTTCTGTGTTTTCTAGCTAAACTCAAGGTAAAAATACCAAGCCAGATGAGACTATGTGAAATCTCAAGGACTTTCTCTGGGCATAAATTAATCTCTATACAGCTGGGTTGTTCCAATAAAAACCCATCTTATATTACCAATTAATCCCCATTTCTCCAACCTCACAAGCATGTAACAAGGACTTTGTTAGAAATCTTGTTATAATCAAAACACAGAGGCTAGGTTTCAAGAATTCATAAATTTAAAACAAAATAATGATACCCCACTGTGGAGGTTTGACTATAAGGGAAGATACCTTTGTCTTTCAAGAAAGTAGCCCTTTCTCTACACATGTGTGCTCTCAGTTGTCTTCTATTTGATTATTAATTGAAGTGTTATTATTTAAATTATTTTTGCTGGGATACAGGCTATAAGCCAATTAAGGCAAATAAAATTTTTTTCAACATAACATTTATATTTTATAAGGTCTACAGCTAAGATTCGCCTCAGGATCAAATGTGTTACATACTAACATGAGGTATACTTCAACGTTAAAATCTAAAACTAACTGTATTTAAAAAATTATGAGTATAAATGCATACAACACATACTTGGTAACAAAATTTCTTGAGACCTCAAAATCAATTTAATATTCATTTAGAATCCTTAATTTAAGTCTGAGGATAGAGAGAAAAGGGCTCGCTTAGTAGCCAAATGGGAAAAAAAAATTAACCATCCCTTTGAAAAACAGAAATATACATAAAATAATTTAGACTAATTAAAAAAGAATATTACAGGTTTGAACTTTATTAAACTCTGAAGTAAGCTTATGAAGATTTGTGAAATTACTCTTTCTGGAGATAATGAATATGAAGCCAATATCTACATATTAAAAAAATGGTTTTCTTCCATCTTGGAGGCAAGGCATGAACCAGGCAACTTCTTTAGGTGAATATTAAAGCTCTAGTAAGTTGCCCCTAAAATTAGGGGTTATCAGCAAAGCATCACCCTGAAACAACTATTAAATTAACAGTTATCTGCTAAGTACCATGGCACAAGAAATGGTTGGCAAATGTGTTGCCAAGTAGATGAATAGTAGTTTCAGAATTGACATGTAATTGGAAAATGCTATAACCTTATCAAATGTTATTTTAAACTTTTAAACTGAAAAGCAGTAGTCAGCATAATCTATAAAAACAGAAGCAGAAAAAAAAAAAATATCAATGCTTATCCAGACTGTTCAGAGTAAGAAGTACTCTTATCCTGTATGATAAGCTTTCAATTTATTTTTCTCAAGATGATGAAAAGTAAGCTACATGGTCCTGAACTGAACAGCTAATTGGTTTCCCAAAAGCTGATTTTAAGTTCTTTTAACTATTAAATTTCATACCTGTAGGATGGCCTCCTTGAAAGAATCTCTCTTCGTTTTTGGGAATCAGTTACACTATCCACTGATTCCTGTGAATCTTCACTTTCTGCAATAGTTGAAATCTGAAAATAAAGAAGAACTTTATCTTGATAATCAAATTTCATTCCCATAAAATTTTTATGAATAAAAAAAAGTCTATTACAAAAGGACATATATAAACCTTATACATGCTTCAGTAGATTAATCCATTTTTATTGAGAGAGACACACACTAATCACCTTCCTTTCCACTTTACTTATTCTATAGAAGTTAGAGGACCTAAAAATTTGTCAAGCCCTGCCTGGTTTGGCTCAGTGGTTAGAGCATTGGCCCATGGACTGAAAAGTTGAGGGTTCAATTCCCAGTCAAGGGCATGCACCTAGGTTGCAGGTTCTATTCCTGGCCCTAATTGCGGTGCATGTGGGAGGCAAGCAACAGATGTGTCTCTCTCACCTCTCTCTCTCTCTCTCTCTCCCCCTCTCTCTCCCTCCCTCCTTCCATTCTATCTAAAAACCAATAGAAAAATACCCTCAGGTAAGAATTAACCCCCACACACAAAAAAAATTGTCAAAGCCACACTTCTGTGATATCCAAATTCAGCTTAATCTCTCCTGCACCTCATGTAATCATCAATCCTGAATGCATCAATTATTACCTGTCAGTTGTTTCCTTACAGTTGGTAGAACAAGACTACCAAGTAAAATAAGATTTCTGACATGAAGGAAAGAATAAATTACTAAATATTTTGTCATGAATCTATATAGTGGCTATACAACAAATGTTTTCCTTTAACTGCCATGTAAACACTTGTCAATGTATTTACAAATGTACAAATAAGATTGGTGATGCCCCAACATGTTCCAAATGATTGTTTCTAGCAAGTTAGGAAGGAGCTCTCTGTTACATATAGACATGTTTCCAAGTTAATATTCTACAATTTTTATTAAGCAAACACTCAATGTAAATAATTGCATTTCTGGAAAGTATCCCTGGACTGAAAAGTAATGAAGATAAGTTGAATAAACATTTTACATGGGATAATAATAACAGCAACCAGCACTTCTTTTTTTCTTTCAATCCTCATCTGAGGACATTTGTTTTTTGCATTTATCTTGAGATAGAGTGGGAGGAAGAAAGAGAGAGGGAGAGAAACATCGATGAGAGAGAGACACTTTAAGTGGTTGCCACCCACACGACCCCAAGTGGGGTCGGGTACAAACTGCAACCAAGGCACGTGCCCCTAGCAGGAACCCAACCCAGGACTCTGGTCCGTGGGCCGACGCTCTAACCCCTGAGCCAAACCGGCCAGGGCAGCAACTAGTACTTCTTATTATGTGCCAGGTGCTCTGCTAAATACATATATTATATTACTTGATACTCTCTAATACAGTAGTAACATTAGGTGCTGGATAAGTACGATTATTATATCCATTTTATAGACAGAAAAACTAAGGCACAAAGTTAAGTAACCCACTCAAGCCACAAAGCTAGGAAGTAAGTAGTGGAGTCACTGTCAATCTTGACAGCTCAGTTTTAGACACCCTTACGGGTATCAAAATCCTACTGGTTCCAATCTCAAACTAGTTTTTTCACAAGTAGCAACCCAACGGTGGTTTTAGACCATTTTCAGACTAGAAGTTCATTTAGTTAGGCAAGTCTCTCTGTCAAATTTATACTGCAAGTTTCCCTAGTCTACTCAACAAGAACCTCCTACTCTGTCCTGAACTAGGTGCACATGATGTTGTCAGAGTGAGATTTAGATTAAAAAAGGCAAAAGGGGCCCTGGCAGTTTTGCTCAGTGGTTAGAGCATCAGCCTGCGAACTGAAGGGTTATGGGTTCGATTTCTGGTCAAGGGCACATACCTGGGTTGCAGGTTCAATTCCTCGCCCTGGTCTAAGTTGTGCAGGAGGCAACCAAGCAATATGCCTTTCTCACATCGATGATTCTTTCTTTCTCTCCCTCCCTCCCTTCTACTCTATTTAGAAAATCAATGGGAAAATATCCTTGGGTGAGGATTAAAAAAAAAGAAAAAAAATTTTAAAAGGCAAAAAGATCTATGTGGGTTAGCTCCAGGTCAAAAACTTACAGCAATGGCAATAAGAAAAAACATATTCAGAGGAACCTGAGAAATCCCAAAGGTACCATGTATGTGGTCTGAGCCTAAGGGTTCTAGAGAGTGGGCACTCATTTTGACAGGGCTTTGTGATATACACTCACTTTAAAATGAAATTAGGTAAATCTAGCAATGCTTCACAAACTATACTTACAATCAAGTAACGTGCCTCATCCAAACACTTTAAAGTATAAGTATAGTCTTTAAGACCTAAAAATTAACAGAAACATTTAAGGAATCCAGAAATGACAAATAAAAAGATGGGGAAGACTGAATTTACTCTGTGGTTCTCTGCAGAGTAATAACGTGATAGTTACTGCCAAAGGAGCACGCAGAACAATTTCTCACTAATCTGTAGCTGCTGTAACTAGCCCACTCAGCAGAGTCTGCACAGACTTTCTCAGAGAGGTAGAGCAGATGAGGAGCAGTGTAAAGGCCTTAACAGAAGGTCAGAATTTCAAGAAATAACAAGACTGAACTCATAGTGGATAGCAATGTGTGTCAAAAGCATTTACCTTCATTAATACTTCTCAGAACCTTAGGTCCTCTATTGTTCTTTTTGCCTCCTTTGACCCTTATCCTTCCAACCTTCTTTTAAGAATATACAGTGACTTAGGCACACTCTCCCAAGTTGAAAGTCATGAAAACAACTTTAAAACATGCTACACAAAACACCCATATGACAGTTTCAAAATGAAATAAAGTAATGTTGCTTTTGTATACACAGCCTTTAATTTTTTCAAACTCAAGTGAATCTATTGCTCTTAGTAGGAAAAAAAAAATCAAAAAAACCTTCCTCTAAAAGATTTTGTCAATTCACAAAAGGAATTAACTTACCATATAGTGATTACTTAGAACTATGAGACCAATTCTTATGAATTATTTACCCCAAATAAAAAACCAAAAATCAAAAACATACAGTAGACCCACATTTCTGAAACTAATAAAAATTACGTCAAAGATCCTTTTTATATGCCCCAGATGGTGTGGCTCAGTAGTTTGGGGGCCATCCGGTGTATTGTAAGATTGCAGGTTTGATTCCTGGTTAGGGCATATGCCTGGGTTGTAGGCTGGATCCCTGGTGGGGGGCATGCAGGAGAGAGCCAATTGATGTTCTGCTCTGAAACTGATGTTTCTTTCTCCCTTCCTCTCTCTCCAAAAAAAAAAAAAAAAAAATCAATAAAAATACTTTAAAATCCCTTTTATAAATAAAATTTATTAATTATAGTTTAATATATTTAATAAGCTATTAAAAATAACAATATAAAAAAATTATCCCCAATTATAAGTACCACAGACTACCACCTCATTCCAATGATAGACCACTTCCTCTGGGCCTCACCCTCTCATCTCTCCTATAAACCCCTTTCTGAGCTTCTTAAATAAGTCTTTAACCTTGGCCACTTATAAGTTAATACATTTTCAAAAAGCTAACCTACTACTTGTAGATATAAAGTTTTAGATCTGCATTTCTTAACATTCTTTTACTTTGTAAAAACCCTTATCTCCTCCTGTTTATATGGGGGAAGAGACCTCCTATTTGGATGTTTTTTGAAATTTCAAAATAAAATGCCAGTGCAAATCAAAGCAATGGTAATATTAGATGCTTTTTGAAAACTCAAATACTTTTCCTGGGGCGAGTTCACACTCATGGTTTAGATACAATTTTTTACTCAGTGGATCAAGAAGTTTCATAGAAGTCTAGAACAATAATTTCCAAACTCCTGATCGGCAAAGATCTCCCTTACAAATAAGAAAAATTTACAAAAGCATATATTTCTTATTTGTAAATTTTAAGAGCCATTTTATATTATAAAACAAAATAACTTTAAAGAGATAGATTAAGTATAAACATTGAAATGTATGTGAATTTCTTAAAGATAAATCGTTTCAGTTTTTATAATAGTGAATGATTTGGTTTAATATGCTTCATCAGCCCGGCCGGTGTAGCTCAGTGGTTGGTTGAATGTCAAGCCATGCACTAAGAAGTCTCTGGTTTGATCCCCGGTCAGGGCACATGCCCAGGATGTAGGCCCAGTCCCCAGTAGGGGGCATGCAAGAGGTGGCCAAATGATGTTCTTTCTATTGATGTTTCTATTTCTCTCTCCCTCTCCCCTCCCCTCCCTACAAAATCAATACAGAAAAAACATATGCTTCATCAAAAATCATTTAATAGTTTATAACAGTGACTCAAAAATATGATTCTAAGCTTGGGCTTTTGAAACATGATTTAAAATCTGCTATTGTTGAAAAAAATCTTATAAGATGTAGACACAAAATATGTACATTTTTGTCTGGGCTTACTTAATAAAACAATCACTTTTCTTTTTATCCTCACCCAAGGACATTTTTGTATTCATCTTTAGATAGAGCGAGGGAGAGAAAGGGGAAGAGAGAGAGATAAACACTGAAGTAAGAAACACATTGACTGGCTGCCACCTACATGACCCCAATCGGGGCCAGGGACAAACTGCAACTGAGGTACGTGCCCTTAGCAGGAACCGAACCTGGGTCTCCCTGGACCGCGGGCCAAGGCTCTAACTGCTGAGCCAAACTGGCCAGGGCTCATTTTTCTTTTTCATCTACCATTTATACAAACTTGATGAGATTTATCTGGTATATTTTAATTTCCCTGACTCTCAGTTACTATATGGTAACAAAAGGTATCATGGTTTCATATTTTAACAAATAAGTTCAACACTTATTGAAACTCTAGAAGACGTCTACATAGTTCAGAAAATTCTATTTCTTGGGTTTTATTTATTTATTTTTTTAATCCTCACTCAAGGACATTTTTTTCCATTTTTTGTTCAGATAGAATGGGAGGGAGAGAGAGGAAGAGAGAGAGAGAGAAACATCGACGTGAAAGGGACACATCGAGTGGCTGCCCCGGAATGACCAACCAGGGCTGGGGACCGTGCCCTTAGCGGGAACTGAACCTAGGTCTCTCTGGACCGCAGGACGACGCTCTAACCGCTGAGCCAAACCGGCCAGGGCTATTTCTTGGGTTTTAAAAGTATATAGATTTGCATTTTTAGGTGCCAAATTTACATTGTTTTCAGTGAAAAAAAAAAAAAGGTATGAAAATTATTTCCAAAACTTTTATTTTCAAAATGCTGTCTCCAGTTTCTCATGCATTAAAATGTCACTTTTCCCCAGGAAGGATAGTTGAAAACGATTTTCTTTCCAAAAACATATTAGGTAATTTATCCCTTGCAAATCTTTGCTTGCCATCATTAAAAATATCAGAAACTTTAGAACACATGTCTTATGTAAAAAACAAACAAGTACTTCATCCTTTCATTAGATAACTCTTACACACTTTGCTACATAACCCCCGAAGCTCTATGTTGCATAAGAGACTTTTATCGTTGCTCCTATCACATTACACAGATTCGTAAAGATCCTATAAAAGATTCCATCTCCAACCACTCTCCCTACCCCTTGCTCATCTATTTGAGTCACATCTTCTTGCTATTCCTTGATAAGTGAAGCATATTCTCACTTCTGACCCTTTGGACTTGCTTTTATTACTTGTATGGGCTAGCCACCTTCACTGCCTCTCCTGCTTATCATGTTCCCTGACCACCTGACATAAAACAGAACACCCTTCTCTTCAAATCATTCTCTATCACTTTCCCCTGCTTTAATCATCTTCCCAGCACTTATCCTCACCTGACATATTGTATTTTTTCATTGTTTCTCTTCCCTCAAATGTGATTTCATGAGAATAGAGAAATACCGTTTGTTCACTGCTGTCTTTCAAACGCACCTAGAACAGTGACTGGCACATAGCATGTGATCAATAAAAATGTGTTGTAGGAATGAATGTAATAATTTAAGGTAGCATAACCCATAAATCCTCTGACATGTTTAAATTACACTATATTAAAAATGCATTCAAAACCAACAAATGAAAAGTGAGGATGCCACTGTTAACTTCTATACATTTATGTCACTCTCATAATCTGTGAGGTTTCACTCATACATATACATAAGACAAAGTTAGGGTACCAATGTCAAGACATAAATGAAATATTATTACAGCTTAGATTCTAATCTTCTTAGGTTAAAAAATATAAGCAGCCTGGGCCAGTTTGGCTCAGCAGAAAGAGTGTCAGCCTGCAGACCAGAGAGACCTGGGTTTGGTTCCTGCTAAGCGTATGTACCTCGGTTGCAGTTTGTCCCTGGCCCCAGTTGGGGTTGTGTGGGTGGCAACCAGTCAATGTCTCTCTCTCACACAGATGTTTTTCTGTCTCTCTCTTCCTCTCTCCCTCCCGCTCTATCTGAAGATACATATATATGTATATATATATATCTCACCAGAGTCCTAATATCTTATTCTCACACCTGAGAAATATACCTTGTATATTTTGGAAATGCTGTTCTAGAATGATAATATTCTCCTATCTAGAAGTTTGAGAAACCATTTCTCTCCTTGTTTAATCACCTCTTTTGATGCAAATACTTCCTAGTTATTAATACTAATCACTGTTATCCAGCCGAAGTGACCATTAAAATTTAATAGATTTTCCATGGTTCGGGCCTCTTTTAAAAAATACTGTATTTTTGTCTTTATTTGTAGAATTCAAGCTTTCAATTATAGTCATAGCTCATCTTAATGAAAAAATATATTCTTGAAAGGATGAGCCCATTTCTATAGTTAATGGCCCTATAACCCCCAGGTTCACATTACCATTAATATTGCCACACAGTAAAGAGTAAAATTAAGAATAAAGTAAACAAATATCACATATTATTACCAAAAACTGTAATCTTAACAAATTTTGTGGGTATAATTTTGGTAATTTTTTTTTGGTGTTCTTTATAGAAAGATCTTCTACTGTAAGTGAAAAAGAAAAAGTAAAGATTAATGTGAGGTCTGAAATCTAGTATCCTGACTAGCAGTTTCTTTCTATTGCTATCAAGAAGACAATGAGTAGGGAATTAGTAATGACATAGGATGGAGAATATAAAGTAGCATTCAATGAAATAAAAACTGAGACAAAGGATAAGAGACTGTAACACATCCACTGTGATTCCATAGAATTATCAAATTCGTTGGTCTTTACCTAGACAATACTGACTCCTACTTGGTAAAACATACCATTCCAGATATCTTTCAGTATGGAAATTCATACAATTTAATGATTTCATGTGAAAACATTCTTTCCTTTCCACTAAGTGTTCGAGCAAGCCAAAAGCACAAGGATAGAATGAAGCAGAGGGGGTAACAACAGCTCAGTACCCAATAGTATAACATAGCTGATTAAGATCTAACCTTCCACTGCTAACAGAATGCTTCCAAGACAAAGGAGGCACCTCTCTCCTCTTCAAATATCCATCAGTCTGACTACTACACCCAAGGAAAACATAATAGCTCACCCACAAGACAACGAGGATGGTGATAAGGAATTAAAGCTATACCATATAATAAATGACTAAAGAAAAACAAGAGACTGTTTAGTCTGGACTCTTTTTTTGTTGTTTGTTTAAATGGGAAGGAGGTGGTAGATGGGGGATAAGAGGCAATCTAACAGAAAAGGAGTTCAACTTGCTTAACTAGTTTCTGAAGATAGAACTGGGACCACCAGGTAAAATTTTAGAAGGGAATACCCTGGTTCATCACATGAAACAATATTTTAGCAATTACCCCTGATTCTAAATCAGTTACCTCAGGAGATAATATGACTTTCCTTCTTCTGAAAGTAATGCTGGATTACAATTTAGAGGGGAGAAAAGATACACAGAGAAATTAAGCAACAGACTAAGAGCTGGGGAAGTAACAAGTCTGGCCTAAATCTAGAAGATCTCTAAAGTTTTTATTCAAACCTGAATTTCATGTTTACAGAGAAGGACAAAGACATAAAGAATAATTTCTCACCTTCCTTTCTAAAAATAGTTCTTTCCAAATCTAGGACCTAGGACTCACCTGAGTTCCGGAGAAAAGTCTTTTTAAGTCCTTACAGGAAGACTGTGAAGCAAAAAATATGAAATGGGAGGCTGGGGTTATGGCCTACTTGAATGAATGTTCAAGTTTCTTTCTTTTATTTATTTTTTCTTCAATAAGGTCACCGCAAAGATGTATACTGCTCTAGGTTATTCCTACAGTTGAGTGGTCACTTTCAGAGGTCTACATGCCTTTAATTCCTTTGGATCCAACCCAAAGGAACAATCTCTCCAAAGAATGAAATAACATGTAGTATAATCACTGACTCTTAAGGTACACTCTCTGAATAAATCATTATTTCAAAGTTATATACTGTAACTTAGAACCCTAAATATAACTGGTATAACAAATGCTTTATGTAATCTCTAAATTAAATATCTTAGAGAAGATTATCAGTTAATTTTTGACAAGGGTTTATTTTTTTCAGTTGCATGTTTAGAAAATAAATTTCCTTAATTGAGGTACATCAGCCTTACCATCTCTCCCAAACATTTCACTCTATCCCATGTACTTAATGATTTTCCCCAATCAATCATTTTTCTTCTAACACTTAAGAAAAAGTCTTTTTCTTTTATGTCTGTTCTTGAGTATATGTATTCCTATACAGATGCAGCATATTCTTTTATTGTAAAGTAAAATAAACTCTGAACTAGATAATGTCCCTATGTTCATAACTAATAAAAGGAGAGAGATATGACTATAAACCACATTTATAAAAGTAGATGCAGAACTTTTTATACACATACCTGAACTGTCTGGACTTGTGGAGACTGAATAACTGATGGCTGGGCCGCCTGAATAACTCCATGGACTTGAACTGTCTGCCCATTGGGCAGCTGTACTAATGTTACGGTGGGAGCAGATGATGTTGCATGAGCTGCTGGCATAGATACCTATTGTGTTGAACATGGAAAAAAATTACCATCACAGATACCTTCTTGGGAGTACTCATGTTCAATATAAAGCAAGTTTTTAGCAGCAAAAAGGTGACCTTTTTGCTAGGTAAGTATTTCATTGGTGTGAAAGAAACGAATGATTAAATTTAACTCTTAAAAAAAAAAAAAAGACTTCAATGCCTCCCCCACCCCCACTTTTCAACTCCTCCGAATGACAAAAACCAAAATACTATTTTAATGTATTATAAAAATATGTAACAGACTACCTTTGAACACTAAATATTACTTAATTTGTATGGAGCTTTACATTTTCCCACCTGTTTCCATACCCCACTTTACCATTTTGCTCTTCAAAGATATCAAGACTGGGTAATCAGGATTATATCCATTTTATAAATAGAAATATCAAGTACTCAAAGAGATCAAGTAATTTACTGAAGGTCAAGCAATATGCTACATTTAAACATAAAAGTCTTCATAATGTCATGCGTTAAATAAGTCATGTTCTAAAATATTATTGCTCTCTAGCTTGGGAGAAACTTAGCTACTAAGGTTTAAAAATATACCGCACAGTTTTATCTCAAACTAATTACAAATATGTCTTTCATTAATGAGAACATATTAATAGGTATTATAATAAAAAAATTTCTATCCCCCTCAAAGAAATCACTAAACTGTTAATAGTTGATATTTTAAGGATTTATTTTCCTCTTGAAGGAATAAAGGAGCAGAGTTTAGAAAATATCAGAGAAACCAATTTTTCTAATGAGTCAATATCCAGGTACAAAGGGTTCTTATGCATACATGTCTATCAGATGGTACTTAACTGTTCCTATGCTTGCACACATTTGGGGGTAAGGATTTTATTTGCTCATTTGGTAAACGGTTACCAGGGACCTATATGCCAGGAACAATGTTAGAACTGAAACTACAAAAATAAGAAACATAGATTGGGAAAGAAATGGGGAAAAGAATACAAATAAATATAATTCAGTGAATTAATGAGATTTGTAAAGATAAAAATGAACACACTGAGAGCTTATCCCATCCCACCTAAGAGAGGCTACCAGGGAAAAATATAAATTTGAAACAAAGAAAACAAGTTAGGCATGTTATTAAAAGTGTAGAATTCCAGGCAGAGGCCAGCAATGGTAAAAGCAAAGAGAAGCAGCATGATCTGTACATGGCAGACAGGGATGACATAAGTGTTTTACTCTATGATGTAGGAAGTGAGGAAAGATGAAATAACACAGAGGCAGGCAAGAGCTAGATGTGCTAGCCATAAAAATCTTACATACATCATATTAAAGAACTTGCATTTTATCCTGAGGAGACTGGGAAAGACACTGAAGGGTTTTGAACTCCTGAACATTATGGTGAGGTTTGTATTTTACACAGATCTCTTTTGGAGCAGTGTGAAAAATAATTATGTCACAGGAAGAAAAAAGTGAAGACAAGGAGACCAATTGAGAAAGCTTATACAGTAGTTAAAGTGAGATCATTAATGGCAAAAAGAAGGCACTAGATGAGTTAGGGATGGGAATGAGAGAAGAGATGTAATGAAAATTCAGGGTAGCAGATCAGAAAGGGCTTTATGAATGACTGGTTGAAGGAGGTGAGAGGAAATCAAAGATGATCCACATATTTCATGTTTGGGTAAGAATTGGTAGACTATGTTATCAACTGAAACAAGAAGTAAGGAGAAACTTTTGGGCAGTTGGGAAGGTAAAAGAACTGATCTGATAATTGACTGTAAAGCTTGCGGGGAAGATCCCTATTGAAGGTAGAGGTTAAAACCATAAGCCTTCCATCTTTGGACAGTTAGAAGTCCTTCTTAATTAATCATTTCTCTCTGGCCACTCTAATTCTTGTTTTGTTTTACCTGGTTCTCAAAATGTGGTCTGTGGACTACAACCTCCATTAGAGTTACATAGGGACCTGTCTGTAAACTCTGATGGCTCCAATGACACTTCCCTACACTGAACCACACATTAAGTTATTCAGAGTATTTCATCTCAATTCCATATAAAAGCTCTTCTAACATTTGAGTTATGTCCTCTTCTGAGTATTCTCTAGGGTGAATATAATATGCTAACTAAATGAATAATTATTTTTCTACCCTGATTATTCTACATTTTCTCATTATAAGTTTATAAAATACAGATACACAAAAATAAGATAAAAATCACTTATATTCCTACCACTCAGAAATAATCACTTTATAATTTTTGCTGTAGATCTAGATATTTTTAAAGGTATATATATACACTAAATTTTTATAACACATTATCATGGGATCTATTTTATCTTTTGAATCCACTATATATTATCTTTCCATTCCATTAATAGTTTTCTTTGTTTTAATGACTGCATAATAGTAAAAATTATACAACTTATTCAATAAATTCCTTATTACTGCATATTAGGTTTTCAAGTTTGCTTATTTCAAGAAGCTACAATAATCATCCTTTTATCCAACTCTTTAGTTAAGTCCACAAAAATGTACATTCTCATAGTCAAAACCAACAATATTTTCTTTTTCACTAAAATAAACATTTCTGTAAATTCCAAAAGTAAAATAAGACACCTCATCATTGTTTTAGATTTTTTTTCCCCTTTGTTAGTTAGGCTGAATGTTTTTTCCTGTTCATTGATCTAATCACAATGATCTTGGATTTGACAATCTTATTATATTTTTCTAGTATTAAAGACTGTAAATAAGCCCTAGCTGGTGTGGTTGATTGGCACTGTCCCATACACTGAAAGGTTGCTGGTTTGATTTCCAGTCAGGGCACATGCCTGGGTTATAGCTCAATCCCTGGTAGGGGGTGTGCAGAAGGCAGCCAAATGATTTCACTCTCACATCAACATTTTTCTCTCTCTCCCTCCCTTCCTCTGTCTCTAAAAATCAATAAAAACAAGCTTAAAAAAAAAAAGGCTGACAGTAAAATAACAGATATCAGAATGATGAGAGGAAATTATGTAAAAAATGTATGACGTATATGTTAAGGATTTGGATGAGCAAGTGAAAAAAACTCTCTAGGAATAAAAAGAACAAAAAAATATATACAAATGGGAACTAGTTTTCCTAAAACTCAAATATCATGACATTCTGCTTTAAAAAGTCTTAAGTGCTAAGGAATGCTTGGTAAGAATGATATTTTGAACATGTGTACATAATTTTGCTCCTCCTGAAATCCCCAATTAAATTTCATGAAAATGATTTTGTTTTTACAGGCATAACCATTCAAGCATAAAAAATGGAAAAGAATAAGAATTTTGGAGGCTGGAAAGCAGATGGATGAATGGTATTAAACTTGGAAGACCTCATGAGGTAGAGGCAGGAAAAGCCTGATTTGCACCACAAAATATTTAAGCAGCTCAGGATCTAAGACACCCTGGAAGGTGGATGAAAGGAGAAGCTGAAGATAAAGAAGGCTGTTTCAGAAGCAACTGGATCCCCTTTCTCAACTCTCTGTGGAGAGAATAACAGGTATCCCACACTGATAGAGAAGTGGAGATTTATTTTCAGGACTGCTTAACAACCAGGCATTGCTGAAGTTGGGGTACTAAACCTCGGTCTTCCCCTCTCACTTGGCTCCCAGGCCTTTATCATATAAGCAGGGTATTAGTAAAGCTTTCTCTGGGGAATGTGACTAATGCCAAAGGGCAGCAGATCTAAAATATACTGCCAGTCACCCTAAATGAAGCTCACAACTCATAATGTTAAGCCCCAAACATATTCACAGAGCTTCCAATACAGCTTTCTGGTTCCCTACTTTTAGATTTTTTTAGAAGTCCTGACCCAGGGATATTTTTCCATTTATCTTCAGATAGAATAGGAGAAGAGAGAGAGAGAGAGAGAGAGAGAGAGAGAGAGAGAGAGAGAGAGAGAGAATGTGAGAGAGAATGTGAGAGAGAACATAGACTGGTTGTGTCTTGCACAACCCCAGGGCCGAGGACTAAATCACAACCGAGGTACATGCCCTTGACCAGAATTAAACCTGCAATTCTTTGGTCCAAGGGCCAATGCTCTAACTGCTAAGCCAAAATGGCCAGGGCCTGGTTGCCTACTTTTAAATCTGAGCAGACAAACACAAATTATTGGGGAAAGTTTCTAATATGAACGATGGAGACCAGAACAAATGAAAAGGAAAAAAAAAGCTATAGAGCAAATCTATGTGAGGAAAAGAAAACTTAAAACAAAACCTAATTAATATTGAGAAAATATTGCCTTTGTGAAACATAAACAGGATGCTATTAAAACACAAAGAACCATTCAGAGAACAAAAGGTAATCTTAGAAACATGACAGGATAAATAAAAAAGTCAATAGACGGGTTAGAATATGAATTTGAGGAAATCTCTGAGAAAACAGAAAAGACAGAGATATAAAACAGGAAAGAAGAGATGAGAAGATGAGAGAAACAGTCTTATAGGTATAAAATCTGTATCAAGGGATCCTAGAAAGAAGAGAAAAAAAATCACTGACCAAGTAATTTAAAGAAATTGCGCAGAACTGAAAACACGAGTTTCCGCTATGAAAGGGCCCACTGAATACATAGGGCAATAGATAAAAAATGATCCAAATCAAGGTCCTAATAACCTGATAATGAAATAATGAAGCACTATAAACAGAGACAAGATTTTTATAAGATACCAGAGATACAAAATAAGAAAAGCATTTAGCCTTTCAAACAACAATAATAGAAGTTGACTATGGATCAATGCCTTCAAAATTTGAAAGAAAAATTTTTTCTTTACCAAGAATTCTTTACCTAAACTTGCTCAAGAAACCACTGGAAAACATGCTTTACTATCTCAAGAAAGTCCGTAAGAGAAAGGAATTTCTAGAATGATATTATATAGCAGACTTAGAGGACACCAGACCAGAAAGAACAGTGTGATGCAAGACAAAGATATGTTGAGCATTGTCCCCATCAAGATCCCTGATGGCAGTTACCTTCTTACCAGAGGGCCAAATGCTTGGATGAGCCCAGACTCTTATCTGTGCACAATGTCTGACCATGCACTCATGGAGTCCTGGCTCTCCAGCTTTCTTCCTGCACCTGCCTCATCTGAGTACATTTACTTCATCCTCAAGTATCTGCTATTCCGAAGGGCCGGAGGTGAGCCATGGTGATCTTAGGAGAAAACAGAGCAGCCCATTCCTCTGACTATATTCCTGCTGGGGGTCCAGTTTCTGGCCCACACTTTAGCTCAGTGTGGTAACCATCCGTGGTTATCCCTCTATTTCCCAAGACCCGCTTCTTGCTCAGTGACTCCTCTGGGGGAGCTTCAAAACTCCTTGGGAAGATGAGGTGCGCTATCCCAGAGCCTCTGCTAGGATTATTTTCTCCTGGGAACCTTCGCCTGAAAGAGGCAATAGCACACTCTTACCTAGCATATATTTATGTTTGCTATTTGTTTTTTACATTAACCATCTTTCTCATATATATTCAATAACCATCTTTCTCATATATATTCAAACAGTTGTTAATAAAATAAAATATTTAAGAAAAAATATATAACAAATCATAAAAATGAGAGACTATAACCTTAGAGATGGAATGTTTCAGACAAAGACAAAATGAAAGAATCATAAATTATATTTAAAATATACAGGAAACAAAAACTACCATCCTTGAAATTTACTTGTGTGTCAATTTATTTACTTATCCTATATTTTTAGTTCAAACACATATAAACTTAGCCTTTCAGATTATCTGTATTCCCATGTCTCAAAATAAATCTGAAAACCACCAGTTATTATATAAGATTGTCTTCCCTTGTTTGAGATACAATTAATCCACCCATTAGTTAAAATGTAGTTATTTCTGAATCATGTTCCTACAAATGGTGTATCAGTGTTTAACATTTTTTTGATATGCTACTGAATTATTTCTAAAATTAGTCTAATACTAAGTGAAATAGGAATTTTGATGTTCTAAGAATGTCTCCGATCATTCTATGCATCTCTCTCTAATAAAAACTAAATTCTCTTGTCTGAAACATATTCCTCTTGGAAGAGAAGCAACCTGGAATCTCTCCATGTATTTTATATTATATACCTGGGCTAATGTGGCAATCTGTGGCTGGGCTTGAACTGTCATTTGCTGGTTTTCAGCTTCTGTTACAGCTGCATCTCCACTCTGCTGGTTCTCTGCTCCAGATTCCATGGTCATTTAGTCACCTACAATAATATGGAAGAGTGTTACAAGCACTACAGTGCTTTGTGCTTTTGTGACTTTAAAGGCAAATTTCAAGTTATAAACAGGTATATGAGGTGGTTAGGTTAGCAAAAGCACTCAGAAATCTAGTTAAAATATAATGTAGCTTAATTATTATGAAATTTGTCTGACTCTGCTGAACTGTACTTTAGTCCCTTCATAAAAGAAAAAACTTTATTTTCTCTTGCCATTTCTACCCAATGAGATATTACTCTACCTAGACGTAAGAAGGTATTGCTCTCATCCATGAATCTCCCTTTCTGATAAGGGGAGGAAGAGAGACATCAAAGTTATAATTTTTCAAACTGTACCAATCAGGTATGAAGAGGGGGTAGAGAGCAGAAGTGAGCTGATGGAAGGGTCTACAAGATACTGGTTTCATGGTACCTCATATAAGGGTATTCCCTCCTATTACAGGGAAGAAGCAGAAAAATTATAAGCTACTTCCACAGGAAATTACTGGAGGTAGGACAAAATCAGCCCAAGTTTGAAGAGGCCAAGTTGTGGGGTATCAAGATAGAAAGGTGGAATAGTTAGCCACAGAGCCAAACTGGAGGCTCCAAGAACTGAAAACGTTAGTGCTCTGATTCCTCTCTTTATGTATATAGTATGCAACACTATGCAAATGCACACATACACAAAATAAAAAACTTTTTAAAATTTTAAATCGCAAAATTGTGGATAGGTTAATTAAGGCTCATTTTTAAACTTCTGAACCCTGCTTTGCTAATGGCTTAGTATATTTGTTGGGTAATCTGGCACTGGATGGCAGCAAAAGTAAGTGGAGGGCAAGTCCTAGCAGCAGCAGCAGCAGCAGCTACAGGGAGAAATTTCTGATATCTGGGGAAGTCGTCATGTGTAAAGGACTCACAATGAAAGGGATTATTTCTTACTTGTGTACTACTGTTATCATTTAGTGCCTAAATTTATTAAAAGTAAAAATTACCTATAGTGATTCCATAAATAACACAAAACCCCAAAATGCTTTTCCAGAATTTATTACATTTATTTTATAACTCTGAAATTGATACTCAAAATAGTCACTGTTCCCTATATGATTACTACATGCCATCAGAAAGAATCATATACTAATACATTTTGCCATCATTTACAGGATTCTATAAAAAAAAAAAGTGTTTTACAAGTAACAATTAAAAATGGAAGTGAAAATATCTCTGGAAATGAATATAAGTCATTTGGAAATTCAGAATCCATGAAATAGATAACAAAGGAAAAGGTCAACAGACTAAACTACATAATTACTTAAAATGTTTATATGGCAAAAGCCACCAAAAGTGCACAGGGAGAACATATCTGCCACATACAATTAACACAGTAACATCTAGAATCCAGAGAAAGAAATTCTTATTGAACTATTATTGACTAGTTCACAAAGACATATGTTCAAGAATATTCAGTGTAGAAATTTTTTATAATAGCAAAAAACTGAAACAAGTATCCATCACTATGAAGACCTTTAAAGAAATTATAGCAGTAAAAAAGAACGAAGTCGCCCTGGCCAGTCTGTCTCAGCAGTTAGAGCGTCGGCCTGCAGTCCAGAGAGACCCGGGTTCAGTTCCCACTAAGGGCACATATCTCGGTTGCAGTTTGTCCCCGGCCCTGGTTGGTAGTGCGGGTGGCAGCCACTCGATGTGTCCCTTTCACGTTGATGTTTCTCTCTCTTCCTTTCTCTCCCTCCCACTCTATCTGAACAAAACATGGAAAAATGTCCTTGGGTGAGGTAAAAAAAAAAAAAGAAGTCTATCTATAATGTAATGACATAAAGCTTTCCAAGACAGAGTGAAATGGTTAGCCATGAAACATAATAGACCCCTCATTTATGTTAAAAACAAATAAAACAAACTGTTGTAAAGGTGTATGCATGGAAAAAGATGTGGGAAGTTATATAGTAAACTCTAAGTGGTAGCTCTAAATAGATGAAGATTTGGTAGATATGTCTAGGATGACGACTTGCACCTCTTTTTATGTATTTTAGTACTATTTTTTTCTTCCCATGAGCAAAGATTCAGGATTACTTGTACAATGTAAAGAAATATAATACTAGTAGTCATGGATTACATTTTGAAACTACTGAAACAATGAACTAAAAAGTGTATTTCAATAATGATTTTGAAATACATGCTGACAAAAAATTTTTAAATCTTTTTACACAAAAATCACTATTTTTGTTTAAATTTTGCTTAAATTGTTTACCCTACATTTCCAAAGAGTAAAAATAACTATTTTTATCAAATAGTTTTTATTATAATTTGTGATAATTCACTGAGTTGTATACTTACAATCTGTACTCTTTCAAACTAAAAAATTTAAGAAAGACATCAAAAGTAATAGCAACAGTAACAACAAAACAGTTTATGTACCTAAATGTTGTACAGACTTTTGGTTTGGAAGAAAATGGATGTGAAAGTAAAAAAGACCTATTTAATAGCAATAGGTAAATGAATCTATTTGAGAATACCGAGTCAAGCCAAATAAGAGCAGAAATCTACAAACTTTTCCCCACCTTCTATCCAGTCATCATTTTAATGAAAAGGAAGATAAATACAATGTATCATCACAATACCTCCTTTGTAGACAGAGTACATGTGATAATTTTTAAAAGACTATTTCAGGCCACATTTTTTAAAAAACTTATGCTGTCATCATTATAGTTTCACTCTACCATTTGATTAAAAAAAGCAATCTAAGTACAGATCATATATTGTTTAACACATCTGGGTTACTTAAAATTTTTTTGACATGTAAGACACAGGGCATCATTAGAACTTATTTTAGAAAATATTTATGACTACATTGTAATAAAGGAGCAAAACCTAGCTAACAACGTAAGTAATTATAGCTGCAAGGACACATTCACCACAGAAATGTGATTTGCAACCTACTTCCCTCCTCATCTAGACAATATTCTTTCTTTCTAAAACAAAGTGGGATATTTACTATGGATAGGATCAATCCTCCATGTAAACTGCCAGTGTTTTATTATCCTTTCATTCAGGTAGATTACCAATCTTTTTTTCAGAGGATGGAATAGCCTTCTTAATTTTCATAACTCTTAGCTTGAGTAGATATCAGTCGCTGGGGCAGCAGTGCATATCCTGCCCTTCATCAGAAAATTCAGGGCTTTCTCAATGTGCAGATGAGAATTATTTCAAAAAGAAGTCACCTATATCAGATGAGAAACTCACTCACCTAAAATGGACACTATTCTTTGGTTTGCACCTGGAAAGTACTGAAATAGAAGTATGCCAACTAAACTAGCTTTTGAAGTAGGTGCATTAATTCTGGACTTTGAAATCTTCTGTTCTTTTTGTTTATATTTTCAGGTGAGGAGGAAAGAGATGCTATGGTGTCATGTGTACAATCTTTATTTTTCTATTAATCCAGCAGCAGTTTAGCTAGCAGTGTAGTAGGCAGACACAGGATCAACTAATAGAGCCAAAATGTGACTTTCCAAAGTTGTTTAAAGGAGATTCCTAATTTATTACACAAATCAGTGTTTTCTGTGTACAAAACAAAAACATAAAGACTGATGATACTATAAAATAAGAAAAAGATCATGTACATAACTCAGAAAGAATATTGTATACATATTGGGCCTAGAACATTAGAAACAATGGATCTTAGAAATCACTGAAAATATTTAGTATTAGCTTGACAGTTTCATGGTTCTTATTCTTCCAGTAATTCTGAATTTTAAAATTTATTTAAGTTTGACATTTAAGATTAAGGGATTTTCATGATTTATACTTAAAATTATGAATTTATAACACATTTCAAAATACTATCATACCAAAAACAAAAAATTTTAAACCAATTCAGAAAGATACTTATCATTTTGCTATAATGATCCTGAGTTCAACTTATTACTATGAAAACTAAAAAGTGAAGTGATTCTGGCTGCTCTCTCCTCTGTGTAGGATGGGACAGTCGCTGTGTGGCTAATAAAGCTCTCTTAATTTGAACAACCCCCCCGCCCCAAAAAAGTGAAGTGATTCTGTAGTACTAGTCATCCAATTTTGAGAGAAACGGTGACTGCTGCTATAAGCAGTTGGGAAAGGGAACTTAACACGTGGTGAAAAGCTAGATCTATTACCAAGTGGGTCTTTGGAAAAATTAAACTTTTTGTGTTTTAATTTCCTCACCTATAAAAAGAGAGATGTATTAAAAGATGTTTAAATGCTGATTTTAGAAACTGACACCACAACATGTA